CCCCAATTGTCAGATAAGTGATTGGCGTTCGGGTCAGGTGGTATGGATTGGGGATGTGCACGAGACTGATCTCCACCCCTGGCTGCTCAGGAGCCAAGCGTTACATCTGCTCAACCCATCAAGGTACCTAGAGATAGCCTGATCGTGCAGGCAACACAGGTGTGTCTCTTTGTCTCGTGACCGGTGGATGAGTGCAGGGAGAGCGACCTCATTCAATGCGTCGGCCTGCATGCATTCTCCAAACAGGTGCGTCAAGACGCACGTGCAATGTATCTTTCTCTTCAGTGCGCGGACGACCTTGTGTACGTGTGTGCAGGGTTCTGACGAGGTGTCCTTCATGCCGGTGGATTTCGCTGCCTATCCCCACTTCATGCCGGACGGAGAACCCAAAGCCGACGATGCAGAAGAAGCATGACAGTCACTTGCTTGTAGATGTCTTTCCATCCCGTGCCATGCCCTCTGTGTATCCCTTTGCTGTGATCTCGGTGCCGGGACGAATGGCCTGTTTATGCAAGGGCCGGTGTGCATGTGCCAAGGGGCGTCGATGGGTGGTGGGGCCGACTGACTGACAAAGTGACTGAGTGAGACTTCACCACCGCCCAACGTCTGTCAATGAAGTCGCGTTGTGTGATTCCTGGCCTAGGAATCACGATTGCCCCGAAAACCGATCGCTCGCAAACCGATCGCTCTTCACGAACACGCGGCTATTAAGACACGCGGCGATGGCGCACCTCCCTTTGCTTTTCATCATCAGCATTATCTGCATGCTGCAGGGTGAGCTGAAGGCAGCACGAACCTCGGAATGCAGATGCATCATGATTCAGGCGTTTGCATGCACGTGTGGGATGCATTCCTTTCTGCAGGATGCATCAGCACCATCTCCTCCGCGTATTCCTCGACAAATGCGCTCTACAGCCGCAATAAGGAAGCCTGTAAGTGGACGAAAACACGTGGCATTGCGTCGGCGCATTCAGCGCTTGATGTGCTGCATGCAATTTGCGTTGCAGCTTTCAAGGCCCACACTGAGAATGCGACGCTCGTCGGCCCAGTGTACCATTGCGGGAGCTATCCCACCGAAGGTAGGATAAACAGTGTCACTGTTATGGCTTTTGTACGGTGTGTCTCTCGCTGCGGACGCCTTCTCAACGCAGGGTGCGAATATGCCGAGACCAACGCAGGCGTGGAAGACGACGACCGACTCAACGTGTGCGCCAACGTTGATCCTCACCTCCCCCATTATTGCGCGACGCGCCTCTCCCTGACACAGCTCCGTGCAGAGCTCGTCGCCAAGTGGGGCCCGAGCGGCGGCAACCTGGTCTTGAAGCTGGTCCGCGGCATAGACGACGACAGAGACTTCCCCGTCGAATGCAACCTTCGCGGCCTGGAGAAGGCCCTGGGCATGATCCAGGACGTCAAGGATGCAGACAACGCCTGGCACAGGGCCAACACGATCCTCGCCCGCACGCCTCAGCGTGACGTGGAAAACGTGTTGGCCGCCTACAAGAAAATCTCCAACCGCAGGGATTGGATTCGCAACGGCTACACGGCGCTGCTTCGGGAGCACTTGTTCAGCCGCTGCGCATGCTGCGTGTGGCTCCAGCATGCGTATGACATAGAGGGCCGCCGCCAACAGAGGGTGAACCACCTTCTTGAGCTACAATGGAAGAGGCTCCAGAGACATGAGGAGCCAATGGAGTACCAGTACTACTAGCCAGAGATACAGCAACACATTCATACTAGCCGGAAGGTCGTTTCGTTCGCTTTTTCTTTTGTCCTTTCCTTTTCTTTTTGCCAATTCGTGGGAGAGACGGGAGTGCATGCAGAGGGTGAACATGGGAGGGTGAAGACGTCTGCGAGATCCAAAGACGATACTTGATTCGAACATACAAAGTCCATGGTCTTATGAGTGTCACGCTGGCACTAGCAACACATTCTCTCACACACGGATATAAACAATCGACAGATGATGCACCAAAAAGACAAAAAGGGCGGCCGACTGGCGGACCTCAGGTCAGTTGAATCAACATGCGCTCGGGCGCAAGATCGACACACGACAGCCTCCCAAAAAACCTCTCTCCCAACTCAGAGCAACACATTTGGCTCAGCCCCGCATGCTCATTCACTCCTTCCCCGTCGGCACATGGGGGCCGTCGAGCTGGCTTATCGTCTCTGCCGGCAGCTTCACCTCGATGCCGTCATGCTCCTCCGTCAGCTTAAGCTGACATCCCAATCGAGAGGTGTCCTGCCGATGCATGGCCAGGTCAAGCATGTCCAGCTCATCTTCCGTCGGCTCGGGGAACTTGCCGTAGTCCTCCTCCTTCATGATGACATGGCACGTGGAACACGCACACTGACCGCCGCACGCACCCTCGATGTCCACATCCTTCTCCAGAGCCACGTCCAGCATCGTCTGGCCGGCCGTGAAGGGGCAGGGGGTCGACTCTGAGCCGTCGTAGCTGGCGAACGTTATGCGCAGCTTGGGGGCCGACGATGCAGATAACGTGTTGAAGCGACGAAGGAAGGGCAATGGTGGTGGCATGCGGCCTTGTGATAGCCTGAGCGGTGCGGACCAGGCAACTGACGGGACGAGAGGACACCCGCGGGGGACACACGTCACCTTCGGTGCCTGTGCAGCTGCTTCAATAAGAGCCGCTCGCATTGCTTTGATGGGTCTCCGAGCCACTGCACGAGCCCAACACACTGCCGATGACCTTGCCGATGACCTTGCCGATGACCTCAGAAAGCAGTCAGAAAGTTTCAGGAAGCGCCTCTCCAATTGATTGACAAGTGCTGCCGTCGTCGGCGTCGTATTGTGGTCGTCGTCAGCGTCCTTTTTCGGTTTTGCCTCTGCAAGCTCAAGATCTGCGAGCTTGGCTTGCAAGGGTCGGGAAGGGAGTTCCGCCTTCCAATTGGCCCAATGGTGAAGGTTGATTATGCATCTTGCGCAGGCACGCGAATCTGCCATTTTCCTGCGTCCGTCTTACGTCGCCTAACGTCAAAGGTCTTGGCCGACGTTCGCGCTCTGACCACTCCAACGATGCTGATCATCCGTTTGTCCACCCTCGCTTTATTGAGTTGCATGCACTCCCGTGCATCTGCATCTTCAGCGATGAGTACTGCCGCAGCGGACCCAGCGGCTATCGTTCAAGCCGGGTCCGCGCGCTTCACGGTGCTGACGGACGACGTCATTCGTATGGAGGACGGCCGCTGGACGGACGAGCCGACGTTTGCCTTCATCAACAGGAAGCTGGATGTGCCGCGGTATCACGTGGAGAGGAATGGGTCGACGGTGACCATCACGACCAAGGCGCTCAAGCTGGAGTATGACCAAGGGACCAAGGTGAGTAGGCGGAGTGGGAGATCTTGGGGTGGGCAAGGTACTACTGGTGTCTTCTGTTTGGCTGGGGTGCGTGTGCGCAGACTGCGTTCTCTCCGTCGAATCTTCGTGTGACGATGGGCGATGTCGTGTGGACTCCGAAGCCAGAAGGGTGGGTGGGCATGGCATGCTGAAGAGGGGAAAGGTCGACCCGATCTATCTGAAGACAGTGTTTCTCATTTGTGTGCTGTGCAGCGTCGGTGACGCAAACAAGGGGAACCTGCTGGGCACTGTCCGCACTCTTGGTTGGTGGGGAAGGATAAGAACAGAACGCGCTCTCCCAACTTTATGTATCCACCCACTTCTCCCTCCTTGATCCCCATTGCAGATGGCGTTGACGGCTGGCTTGACCTGGACTGCGCCAACCAGGACCGCTACGACCTCCACTGCACATATGGTCTGCTGTCGACGCAGGGCTACACTGTTGTCGACGACACCAACCGCCCCCGCTTCACCGCTCCTCCTGAGCACATGCAGGCCATGGGCATCGGCTGGTACGAGCGACCTCAGGTCGATGAGGCGAGCGACGAGGAGTGTGCGGCCGTCAAGGTGGAGGAGAGGCGGGGCTGCGGAGAGGACAGCATTGTGCCGCTCGACTGCCTGGTCGGTGAACGAAAAGGGTGAAGGGAAGGCATCCATTGACACAGACATCATCATGGTGTGGCTCATTCTTTCGTTTGCTCAGGGTCGAGGGTGCTGCTATGATGAGGACCCCGAGTCTGGTCCATCATGCTGGTACGTGCCCACCCGCAGCCATGCCACACGCGACTGGTACTTCATCGGCCATGGGTCGCCGGACGGCATCGACTACAAGGGGACGCTTAAGGCGATGAGTAAGATGATGGGCAAGATCCCTTTGCTGCCGCGATATGCCTACGGCGGGTGGTACTCGCGCTACTGGTCGTGGAGCGATGTGGAGCTCCGGGACATTGTCAAGGAGTATGAGGAGAGGGACATTCCACTCGACGTGCTCGGTGAGTGGGGGCAGAGGGGACGCGGGCTGGGGTAGCGGGAGAAAGAGTCGTGTGTGTGTGTGTGTGTGTGGTTGCGTGGTTGGTATGTCAGTGATTGACATGAATTGGCACCCGAGTTTCGAGAAGGAGCGGGCGATGAACGCATCGAGAGACCAGGCGCACCAACCCAAGGGATGGACAGGTGGGTGGGTGTTGACACTCAGAAGTCGGCAGCAGGTGGTGTGGTGCATTCCTGCCTTGTGTGTGTGTGTGTGTGTGCGTTAAATGCATTGCAGGCTACACCTGGGACCGCACTCTGTTCCCCAGCCCCTCCAAGTTCCTCCAATATATTGACAGAAGAGGCCTCTCAACCACACTCAACCTGGTATACACGAGCGCCCCACAGACAGACAGACAGACAGTCCATCTGTCTGTGTCTCTGCCTGTGTGACGGTGTGTGTCTGTGTGTCTGTCTGTCTGTCTGTCTCAGCATCCCGCTGGCGGCATCGAGCCCTGGGAGGACACCTATCCCGATGTGGCGACAGAGATGGGGATCGACCCCGCATCCGGGAAATTCGTGCCGTTCAAGCCGTCCGACCCACACAACATGTTCGCATGGGTGAGCGGTGCTTGCAAGAGAGGCCATTACTCACTCGTGTGCATGGGTGGATATGCCTATTCTTCTTTCCTTGTCTCACTCAGTTCAACATCACCCTCGCCAAGAGGGAGGTGGAGGGCGTTGATTTCTGGTGGCTGGACTGGCAGCAGGGGGAGACCTGGATGAAGCAGCCGGATGTCAACCCAACCTTCTGGCTCAACCACCTGTTCTGGAGCAAACCACACTTCTCCAAATCGGTCAGTGCACTGTCCCCTCCCCCCCCCTTCACATACACAGACACGGACGGTGAAAGGACATATTGATGATGGTCTGTCTGTGTCTGTGCGCGTACAGGGTATGGAGTCGGGTACTCCCGAGACGCGTCGGCGGCCGATCCTCTTTGGCCGATGGGGCGGGCTCGGCAACCACAGGCACGTCCACACACACACACACACGGCAGAAATCCGTGTGGCCATCTGATTCACTTTGCGTTTCTCTCTCTGTGGCCGTGCCGTCCGTGGCTGTCAGGTATGCGTTGGGCTTCAGTGGCGACGTCAACCCCAGCTGGGCGTCGCTCAAGTTCCAGGTGCAGTTCACTCTCACCGCAGCCAACGTGCTATTCAGCTACTGGTCACACGACCTCGGCGGACACCTCAAGGTGAGCCAGACGGGCGACACGCCTTCAGGGGCCACAGACATGCATTGCCGTCTGCCTGTGCGTGCGTGCGTGTGTGTGTGTGTGTGCGTGTGTGTGTGTGTGTGCGTGTGTGTGTGTGCAGCCGTGCCCAGCCGAGATGTACACGCGTTGGATTCAGTGGGGCGCCTTCTCGCCCTGCATGCGGCCCCACTCCAGCAAGGAGTTCGGCAACGACCGGAGGATATGGGTGTACCCCAACACCTACTACGACATCATGCGCACATTCATGAGGAGGCGGGCCGAGCTCGTCCCCTACATCTACTCGCAAGGCCGCCGTGCCTATGACGACGGGCTGGCGCTGCTGCGACCCATGTATTACCAAGACCCGCAGGAAGACAAGGCATACGAGTAAGACACAGCACACACGATGGCTGATCTGTCCCTCTGTTGCCATGATGCTGTCCCTCTCTGTCTGTCAGGTACGGGAAGGGTCAGTATTACTTCGGCGACGACATGCTGGTGGCGCCCGTCACCGCCCCGGTCGACAACACCACCGGCCTCGCCGAGAAGAAGATATGGATACCGCCTAGCAGCATCTTCTACGGTCAGGGTGCATGGGGCCATGCACTCACTCATCCACACTTGTGCCGACCTGCCGTGTGTGCGTGGCCGTGTGTGTGTGTGTGTAGAGGTGGGGTGGGGCATCGGTGTGAAAGGCCCGGCCGAGCTGACCTGGACATATGACCTCTCAGAGATGCCCGTCTTCGCTCGCGTGGGTCAGGTCATTCCCACGGTGGGCGGCATGAGGGCCGACAGCCAATGCAAAGGGCCTCAAGGGTACCTCACCTCCTGGCAACACGCACCACACCTTACCCACCCACCCCACTGCCTTGGATTTCTCTCTCTCTCTCTCTATGTAGGAGTATACGCACGTCAAATGTGCTGCCGTCCTGCCTGGGTCTCACTTTCTACGCCGGCGGCATCATGACCGAGACCGACACGGAGGGATTCGGAGGCGTCTATGAGGACGACGGATGGTCACAGGGGTACGTGACGCAACACCACACAGACAGACAGACAGACACCCCATGCACATTCCCTTCTGTCTGTCGTTCTGACCTTCCTTGTGTGAACAGCTATGAGGACGGTGCCTTCGCGTACACCAACGTGAGCTACTCGTCTGGCGTTGAGGGCTACGCCATCATCATCTCCCCGCCAGGCACAGCCAAAAGCCCCGCGGTCCTGCCCTTCCTGCCGACTGAGAGGCAGTATGAGATCCGCGTGGCGGGCACTTGGCCGCCAAAGGCCGTGTCCATCGGCGACAGACTGGTGGGTGGACCGGGGCAGGGGAGGGAGAGGGAGGAGGAGGAGTGTGTGTGTGTGTGTTGTGTGTTTAGATTGAGCGTGCTGACCTGGGGGAAAGGTGCTTGGCTGACTGCTGGACGTACGATGGCGAGACGCTCACTCTGACAGTACACGTAAGCCCTGCCGGCCTACCTGCAGACAGACAAAGAGACAGACAGAGAGACAGATAGACAGACAGAGAGACAGAAGGAAAGCTGGCTGCACACCACACTTGCGGCGTCTCTTCTTTCCTTTGTGTGGGTGTGCGTGTGCTTCAAACACACAGCTCGTCGACCTGCGTCCGCTGACAGAGGAGATGATTGTGGCCATCACGTCCCTCTTCACACCAGCAACCCCGCTGCTGAGGAGGGGATTCCCAAAACTGTAAGACCCACAAGCACACACAGGGAGGGAGAAACGGAGAGGTCGCACATGGTGTGTGTGTGTGTGTGTGTTCAGGGTGTCACGTGCGAAGAAGGTCAAGGTGCTGCTGGACAATCAGTGGGGCCGCAACACCACGGTGAGCAAGACGCCCCCCCCCTCCCTTCTTCCCCATCGCTGGGCCGCATGACTCCGAGGTGTGTGTGTGTGTGTATGTTGTCAGGTGTATGAGGAGGATTACCAGAGTGTGATAGCCCTGTCCCTCCAGGGCATCAAACTCACATACAACCCCGCCACCGCACCGCAGCTCGTCCAAGAGGCCATCGATACACTACTGCCCAACGCTATCAAGGAGGTGCGACCGACCACACACACACGCGCAAGTGCATTTGATGTCCTTCCTCTGTCTGTCTGTCTGTCTGTCAGGTGCAAGGGCTGACCAAGCTGCCAGCTGACGTCAAGTCCAAGGCCCTTGCCCTCCTCGATGTGCGGCCGATGCCGCACCATGGTGATGATGATGCACAGCGCAAGGGGCCCGCTGATGCGCTGCTGACGGCGTGAATGGCATGAGCGAAAATTAATTAGCTAGTACATGTGTGTGGGTGGCAGCGAGGGAGTGTGTGTCGTGCGCCGCTCTGGTTTTTATGTATGTGAGCAGTCGACGGTATGCGTGTGCGTGGCATCGAGCTCTGCAAACGAAGTTACATCTATCGGCGAGTGGTGTGTAGGTGAGTAAGTTTGTGTGTCGGTCTAGACAACGAATTAATTATAGTGTAGCCTGTCTGTCTGCCTGCCTGTCTGTCTGCCTGTCTGTCTGCCTGCCTGTCTGTCTGCCTGCCAGTGATTGCCCCCAATAGCAGGGGATGTGCCAATGCATGTGCGCGTGTAAGGATGTGATGTCTGCATGAGACAGAGAGATGCAAACCACCAACCACAAAGGCAGGCTTTGTCAACCAACAGTTTCTTCCATCCATTCGCATACAATCGAGTCCAACAGACATCGGTCGATGCAGGTACCAGTACCAGCAGCCGCACCCTCACAGCAAGTCCTGCGTCGGTCAATCAGCAGCAGCTCATGACGAAACGGCCGCACCCTCTGTGCCGTCCGCAGTTGGCTCTTCATCCTGCTCGCCCTGGTCGGCCACCTGGGGCGGCTGCTCATGCTCATCGCTTGGCACAAAGACTGAGAAATACTCACGGGCAAACGCAAACACGTCCTCCTGTGGCTCGGACACAGAGACAAGCAACCAACATCCGCCAGCCCCACTTGTCTGTCGGATGCCTGGCTTGTGTGCCTAGTAGTTACTGGTGTGTGCAGGAGCACCGATGCCAGGAAGTCAGTGAGGAGCTGCCGCAGCTCCGGATGCTTCTCTACATACCCCCAGTGCTCCTCAGAGAGCTCAACCTGCCCGACGTGACACACAGGAGAGAGGCCCCACGATCACACAAATCCGCGCCTCTCTCTTCTTCTTCTGCAGCGGGTACCTACCGTTCTCAGCTCCAGCCTCTCCATCGGCTCGGGGTCCTTCGGGCGGCCCTCACTGTCGAACAAGTCATCTGCCTCAGCCACCTGCTTGAGCGCTGGGGCTGCCGCGGCGCTGCTTGAGTCTGTCATCCTATCGTCTCAGGCACACGATACCATTGCAAAGAACCCGACTCGGGAACAATTCGCCCTCCTGAATGCTTCTCGCGGCGCTTTTTGCGATCGCACATGTGCGAGCTTTCGCCCACCTTTGCCTATGCGCACGGGATGAGAAGCTTTCTCGGTGACTTGAGAGGCCACATTCATCGTATCTTCCGGTGACTCCGGTGAGCAAGGAGATTGCACGAGAAGGATGGATGGATGCCGAGAGGGATGTGCCTGATCCTCTGGCGTGCGTCAGGCGTGCGTCGTATTTGACCAAGCCATGGCAGCTGCTGCAGCGTCGTCGTCATCCGCTGCTGCAGACTTGCCGCAGCAACAGGTACATCCGTTTCACCCATTCATTCACTCACTCATTCACATGGCTGGTTTGTTTGTTTGTTGTTTGTTGGTTTCATCCATCCATGTGCATGTCAGACGTTGCCGTCGTCCCACGAGCGCTACAAGAAAGGCACTCGTGTGTGGATGGTGACGAACAAGCGTGAGAAGGGCAAGCAGGAGTGGGTGACGGCTGCTATGGCTCGCACTGAGGATGTCGGTGGGGCGACGAAAGTGTATATGACTGAGAAAGAGATGGTGGACGGCCGCCGTGAGCAGCTCGTTGTGGTGGTGCCGGACATGGCCAAGACATCGCCGCACGGCCCACAGGTAGGCAGGCGTTCTCATGTGCCGATTGGTCCGGTGGCTGCTGAAGGATCCACCTTGTGTGCGTGTATGTATGTGTGTGTTGTGGTGTGTCCAGGTGCATGAGGGTTTTACATTAGTTGAGAGTGCGCATCGAGATCAGAATGACAGCAACACGGTACACACCCAGACAGACACACAGATGACACACACACCTCTCACTCCGCCTCCATTTGCGGTTCAGCAGGGCCAGCAGCTTCGCCTATTCGACCTGCCATCGGACGTAGAGCGTGACGTCTTTTTCCCTCTGCTCGGCCCCGGCGGCCTGTCCCACCTCCACAGCACCTGCGCACTCGGCAGCCGACGTGTGTCGGTGGCATATGTGAAGACGCAGATCGACGCTGAGCTTGCTGCAAAGGGCCTCAAAGGCATCATCAGCTACGAGCTGGCATCCATCGGTCACCTGCTGCGGCTGCTGTACATCATTCAGAAGAGCGGCGAGTGGGAGGGCTGGGAGCCCATCATTAGGGTGGCGAAGCATCAGGGGCGGGGCGGCGGCAAGTTGCCGATATACCTGGACAGTGGCGATGTGGAGGGGGTGGGCAGCCGGTGGGTGTACGACAGCCGGTGTGAGGCGCTGCGGCAGCTCTCACTCATCGGCCGCCACCTTGGCATGGCGCTGCGGCGCGTCAAGGGCGAGGAGCTGCTGGGCGGGCATCCGCTCACCATCCCCACCCGAAGACGCCGCGATAGATTCGACCGGGCCAACCCCGTGTGTGTGTATCAAGGTGAGGAGGAGGGAGAGACGTGGGTTGGTGATGGATCATCTCGGATGGTCGGGTGTGTATGTCTGCATGCCTGCAGATTATGAGTTTGCGTCGATTCGCGACGTTGTGCTGGACAAGTAACGTAACAGATTCATACAGACACATATACACACCGGCTGCGTCGCTCTGCTATGCTGCGTGTGATCAGCTTGCGCTATGGAGGAACGAACGTCGCGTTCCACAATGTCGTCCAGCAAGGGCATCTCACACGCTGCAATCGACTGGTCAGCCAGCCCCACGCACACGAACCGCCTCACCAGCTGAGCTGCCCTCATGTTGTCTCTCTTTCTCTCCAGCGGTTCAAGCTTCACACAACCAGCACGGGCCACTCGGTCGGACAGCTGATGAGACAACATGAAGGCCGCGTGATAGTGCTGCACGGAGACCAGCCCGATCACTCATTCAAGGCACATCTCCACATCATCGGCCTCTACCCCGACAGTGTGTTCGCCAACCTCTACACGACGGAGCGTCCTGCGGCGGGCCAGAGTGGTGCCGCCCGATTCCCGCAGACGGTGCAGCTGGTGCGTCAGCAGTTGGGGACGGACGTACAACTGCTGTTTGGGAACCAGCTGGTAGCTGTCCCCTCTGCTGGTACTGGTGGTGGTCAGCGTCACGAGAGAACACACATAAGAAATGTTTGATGAGTGTGAACGGACCTTCGATGGTTGTGTGCCTGTCTGTAGGTCCTGCTACTGCTGCGGCAGCGGCCACCCCATCGTCGTCAGCTGCTGCAGGCGTGGCCGAATGACGGATGGATGGTGGAGTAGACAGGCAGCTGATAGATAAGCAGCAGAGGGAGGGTAGTTGTAGTGATGGACGCACCTTCTGATGGGATGGATCCGGACGATGTGTGTGATGTCAATGGATATCGTTGTCGTGTGCATGACGCTGGACGTGTCTGTGAGATGAATGGCTCACCATGCTCGCCTCCAAACCAAGAATGCCATCGATTCAATCCTCTCCTTTGATATCTGCTACTAGAGGTCGATGTGCAGATGTCACATCCACGCCCGCAGACAGCGATCTTAAGCAAGGGCTACGCAAGGTCCTTGGTCCCTGCTTCATGCGCACCATTCACGGACTACCGTCGACCACGTGTACGGCCCTACTTGCCACAGTGCCTTTGAAATAATGCTGCTCAAGCCACGTGTGACACCAGCAAACGCAACAGTGGATAGCAATTGAAGACTACAAAGCCATCGCTGTATTCGACCTGCCCCAGACGAGACAGAGACAGGTTTGAATTGACCGAATACACGACATTTCGGCCCGTTGGCCTACCTGTGCGTTCTTGTGCGTCGTTTTGAATGACATGATGTCCGCAAACGCGATGGCGAAGTGACATATACTTCGCTCGCCGGACGTGGAACGATGCAGCACCTACATGGATGAAGAAACGAATGAACTCAGTCACTTCGAACCTGCATTTCCCCATTGCCTGACCTGCACATCGTAGCCGCCAGCGGCCTTCTTTGTGAAGGTGAAGACTAATGAGCTGCAAAGCCAACAAGGAGCAGCGCCATCCACCGTTCAGCGTGTGAATCGATATCTCCCTACCGATACATTTGCTGTTCGTCTCCTCTGGCCGTCCCCGTCCCGTGCTGTTCCTGGCCCGTGTCCATATCCTGCATTCGTGTCTCATTGTCGTATGACAATGACAGGGAATGATCGCCACCCGCGGAGCTCTTCAGGCGGGCCACCACCCCCCTGCTAACCAGGAAGCCCAGAGGGAAGGTGAATGATGGCTGCAGGTTAGCGCCTTTCGGGAGAAACGCGGCCAGCTTTGGCCGTCTCGTGACGGCGTTGCTGAGTGTTGGAAACTTCAGCATCACCGCCTCTTCGCTCGCCTTTCGCAGGATCTCTCGCTCGATCTCCAGGCCGCCATCAGAGAAGGCGAGACAATCCTGCAGAAAGAGACACGCATGACGCACTCACATCATTCGGGTGTCTACATATAGTTGTTTGTGTGTGTACGCCAGGACGGACCTGGTACGCCTTGATGAACTCCTTGTCGGCGCCCATCTGCCCTTCGAACAACTGCACATCTGCTGTGAGCGATGCTTTTGCTTCCCGCAGCTTTAGGAGGTACTCTGCGTGTCTCTTTCTTGCCTCGATCCGCCTCTCGATGGCACGCATGACGTCCTCACTTGTGATGTCGCTCTGACAGACAAGGCACCGATCGGTAAGCAAACGGATAGCACAAAATGAGATGTTGTCTTTTGCACCCCTCTGATACTCTCGAGCTCCCGAATGGCCTCTTGCAGTGTAGTGGCCTCGTAAATGTTTGGCGACGGTGATCGGAGCAGCCTGACGTGTGGATTGGTCGGTCACCATTTGTAAGTGGGAAGGAGTCGTCATCACTCTCACCTCGCCGCCGCCTCTTCCACTTCAAATTTCAGCAGCGCAAAGTCACGCATCGGCCTGATAGGCGGCATGATAGCTAGGCCTCTTTCCAACGCCGCTATGGAATTGGTGAGGGGCCCTGAAAAAGAAATCGACCCTTTGTGCACAAGTCAGTCATCGCACCACCCCCTGTCACCCACCGACAACACCGTGGGCGTCGTCATCTTTGTAGCTGCGCAACAGCTCGACGTCATCCGCATCGGCCCCCTCTGCTGAGCTCGAGAGATCCGAATACGTCGAGATGTCTGCACAGGGAAGGCTCGTGATGACCACAGGCACAATCATGACCACACTCGCTCACCGCTCAGTGTGAAGTTGTGGAATCTGTCTGTTTTCTTCGCGATGTGGAGTACATCCGGCTCTATCGGCCTCAGCTGGCCGACCAGGCGCTGCAGGGGGTCCTCTGTCTCCCTTCTCAGCTGCCACCGGCCGTCAACTGCCGTCTGGATGAGCAGGTTGATCAAGCCACATACGTCTGACGACATGAGCGTCACGATCTTTGGGGTGTGTCTCAGCTGGTCCTGGTACAGCGACAGCGTCAAGCCGATGTCGAGTTCTGTTGGCTGGATGTCCGTCAGCTCCCCGAGCAAGGCCTCACACACCGACACCGTCACCTCGTCTGCTAGAAGCCTGCGGTGTCAACAAGGAAATGTGTCAAATGCATCATCGGTGCTCACCAGTGCTGATTCACTGGTCATCTTACCGCTCAATGCTCTGCGATGCGTCGAATGAGTCTTCACACACCATGCAAAAGAATTCACAGACCTGCAGGGCGGCACAAGTGCCGACATATATCATTCTACGTACGCTTGAAGTCACAGGTACGACCTGACCTGCTTGCAGTTGAATGTGAAGGCGGCGTCTTCTCTGTTGCTCGGGATGCCACTGACCGTGGCAGGGGCCGACATAAACGGAATCAGCACGCCGTGAAAGAAGAGTTTCGCTATGGGCCAAAGTGACGACAGGTCGACGAGAACTCTCCCATTCTCGACGTGTCGCTTCCTTGCCAGCAGGTCAGCGTCGGCGCCCTTGCCGATTCTGTCCGCCGACACCCGTAGACATGGCACAGTGGGCAGCTCTTGTGTGCTCTCCAGTGATGGGCTCTCCAGTGACTCCTGAAATCATGCAGGCGGCAGAAATGAGCTCAGACATTTGTGCGTGTCACCAGACACAGTATTCACAGACCCATATGTGAAACAGAAGAATTCTGAGGGGTCTCGGCAGCCGCATTCGTCGCAAGGGGTCCATGAAGCCCTTCATGGAGTCTCTGAAAGATTCACGTCCGATGGCAAGCCGTGCACGCAGTTTTGGCTCGGTATCCGGCGTGATCTCTTTCCGTAGCTGAAGACAGAAGAAGGACAGAAAGAGACACAGCAACAGTCAACAGCTACAACGGCATCTTAATGTTGGCGAACGCACATGTGTTGCAAGCTGCTGCAGAGAGAAGGCGAAGAGCGCAGGAGGAGAGGCATCCTCCCCCTCCTCTGTAGCGGGGGCTTTCGCGAGCCAGGAAGCGAAGCCGGAGAGACAGCCCGTCGACAAACACAGCTGACAAAGGAAAAGAAAACTGATGAATTTTTCTTCATTGTTTTCCGTCATCACCTTCAACGCCATGCCACTCAACGCGTCGAGTAGGAGGCTGTCAGGCGGTCTGAACAACGAGGCGAGTCGGCCGCGCTCCGCCAGCAGAGATATCTCTGCTTGTGCCATCATTTTGGCCAGCGACAAGTAGCGGAAGCAGATGAAGGGGTCTTCAAGGTCACGGAACAACTGCCGATTATGCCAAATGAGACGGAAGCACTTACAACGCTCAGTGCTCCTGCTCACCGAGTCAGCCGTGCGATTGAATGTGCCTCGGGCGGCCGCGTTGGATGAGTCGACTACGGCGTTACTAAGCACTTTCATGTAGAGAGGCTGTACTCATAAGATACACCCAGGAAGAAAGAAGAAAGCTGTAATTCAATTGGTCCATCTGTCTCACTCACACGCCCGGTTGCACACATTCGTACCTGTCTCTGGAGTGTCCACAAGATGGGGTGCAGCTGGCTGAGGCTGCGCAGCACCACCGGGTGGGTCTTGTCTTTGTTATGTCCCGGCAAGGGGATGTTCAATAGCTTCGCTGAAGTGAAAAGCGGAACACGCGGGTGCTGTGCAGACAGCTGTCCGCACAGCAGGCTCACCTGTCCGACACAGGCTCTCTTCGATGCTCATGGATACCTGCAGAACGGCAAAGTGCACTGAGTCAAGCATCGATCGTCTCTGTTGCTCCAAGCACAGAGCAGAGACACCTTCTGCAGATGTGCACGATGCGCGGATGCCTCCTTTATTCTCGAATTCAGCTCAGCAAGGTCGCGCCTCAGCCCATTTTCGGCGTCTCTCAGGCCTTCCACGCTCGTCTCTGCCGACTGCCGCTGGAGTATCCTCTGGCAAAACGAGAGACTCATCGAGAAATGGTGGGATGCCATGGTTGACTCGTCAGAAGTATACCTGTATTTCTCGCCAGTTTGTATGCACAACACCTCCCTCTCCGTCCTCCGCAGCGGAGCCTGAACTTATATGTGAGAGAGAAGCCCGGTAAGTGCATATCCCCTCGATGACGGAATGGACTGACGACTGACTTGCTGGCGTGGGTGTTCGCATGCCTTCTAGAGGCCTGCTCGGCGACATATCGGGTGACCCCTCGCCATCGCCTCTCCACTTGTTCACGACCCTGTGCGGCACACCACTCGGCCGATCCTCTTGGGCACGAGCCACGTCTGCATCAATTCCCTCCTTAGGTGTCTCCTCAACATCCGTCAACATCCGTCCATCAGCTCTTCGCTTTGCAGCTCCCCGGCCTAATCGACCGCAGCAATTGTCGCCCCAGCTGAATCAGGACACCTCGTCGTCTCTGCGATACCCGTGATCAGTTTTGTTCGTACATGCGTACCTAAAGAGCTCTCCTTCCAGGCCACACACCAAGACGTGATAAGGGCCACATGCAGAAGCTGTAGGGTGGAAACCCGCCGGCAAGGGTATCACTGTAGGCGTCTCGACGAGCTGAAGACACATTCAAGATCTGGAGTTTCAAGACATCGGTTGAGATCGGTGACAAACAGATACCTGTGGAGCGCCACTTCCCAGCCCGCACTGGTGCTTGTTGTTGAGGCCGAGGGACAGCACGCACCCCTCGCCACACATGACCGTGTACTCGTCGCCACATGAAACATTTGTCACCCTGCCGATCGCGGACACCTGGCCACGCGGAATATTATTGCCTGGCTCTTGTAATTACATTCATGCTGGAGCTCACTGTGTCTCGCCCATCGCTGAGGATGGGGTGCACCGCCTGAAAAAGCCTGGACACGCACACATCATCACGCGGCTGCATGAAATGTATTTTCTCTTTACCGAGGCTCCAGCAAGTGACTCGAAGCACACACGGACTGAACGATAGACTCAAATCAGGCACATTCCTCATGCCGCTTCCTTGAATCTCACCTTGTCCCTTCCCCATATCCAAAGCTGGCCTTCACTGTCGACGGCGCACGAATGATACGCACCACAAGCCGACTTGACGCACCTCACGTCCATCCGACTCCCACCATCGTCTTGGAAGTGTACACGTCCAGGTACTGTCTCATTGTCTGCAAGCACCGCTTGCTTCTGCCGCGATGGGCTGGCGGCGCCTCGGCCGAGACGTCCGAACCATCCCTCACCAAACGACCAAAGACCCTCCTCGCTGTCGACGGCGAGTGTGTGATGTCGGCCCAGCGACACAAACTCGCACACTCCAGGCATCTGAGTGACCACTCGTGGAAGCAGCTGCACACCTGAAACCGACCGTGTTGTCCGTTCGTGTATGAGTGAGGTTCTTGACTTTCAGTGTGGACGAACCAGCTGTTTTTCCCTGGCCAAGCTTGCCTCCTTCATTGTTGCCCCACGTCCACAAGTGGCCGTCGGCCGCTATGGCGGCGCTGTTGTCTTCGCCCGCTGCGATAGCTGACGCACCAGAGAGAGCGGACAAATGAAAGGGCTCCGGTGCGTTAAAGAGCAACCCCGACCCTATCTGAGGAAGCGTAAGTTGACAGTACACGCCGTCCGTTGTCTTTCTGTCCCAGACTGACCTGCCCTGACTCTCCGGAACCCCAACTGTCAGGAAATTGATACGTGAAGCGAAGAGATATGGGATAATGGGAATACATCTCTCTGGTTCTCGCCTTGCACTCACCTGAACACCTGGCAGTCACCAATGGGGACACACAAATGGTAGCAATATGTATATGCCCGGTGTGTATTCTCATCGACTTCCTCACCTCCCTCGCTTTGGTGAGTGCGAGAGTGTGATAGCCACCGGCAGCTATGGCGGCCACGGGCGCCTTGAAGCTCAGCTTAGTAGGTGTCCAGACATCGATGGCCGACGGCTGAGCTATCTGGCCCCTCTCGTTGGAGCCAAAGACCTGTAGGCTAAGGAGTTTTCTGAAGGGCTGACTGAATAGGGGATGACTTACCCAAATGTCCCCTGCATACGTGACAATGGCCGAGTGCATGGCGCCGCACGCAATAGAGACGATGCTCCACGGCTGATAGATCGTAGATGGATGCCCCTACTTTCAGATCTCACGTCTGGTGACTGACCTCATCGCTGCGAGCATCCGCGTCTCGTCTCATAGCACATGCGCTTTCTCCTTCACTGAAAGATGATTTCCAGGAACGTAGACATACTCATGTGCATCTATGGTGTTGTGCTCGCTCACGTGGCCACAGAGCCTCGGAGTGGAGCCAGTGTGCTGGCGTGGGCCTTGAGGCCTTCAATCACGTGAGGAGTGGCAGAGACACCGCCCCATGAAAAAAACTGCCACACCAATCACAATACACACAACACACGCCACATGCCAGTGCTCTCCTATCATTCTCCCTCCATCCTACTTTTCCTTCATCAGTCAACGCCAAGGAGCGCATAGGGCCGGCGTGTACTTGGATGACGCGTTCCAGTTCTAGAATCTGAAAATTCGTTTCAAACGGATGTCAAGAATTGCACCCTGCGAGCACATGTGTGAGAGGACAGAATACCTGTGCAGGCGTCTGCTCTACATCAGCTCCGGTGACAGCCCTCCCAAAAGACCAAACCTTCCCCTGCCTTGTTAGACACAATGTATGAGTGGCCCCACAAGATACCTGACATAAGACAAGGCAGCAAGTGAGAAGCTGCCATGATATATACAGTAGCCCTCTTAGTTTGTGACGCACTTGTACGAGTGTGATGCCAGTGAGAGCGTCCACCTGCTTGGGCAAGGGCACATCGCACGCCTCGCCATGACCCAAACGCCCATGCGCAGCACACCCCCATGTGAAGCACTCCCCTAACGCACTCAGCGCAGCTGAGTGGGCCTCTCCAGCAGACACCTGAACGATCACTATACTCTGCATCACATGCGCATACACACGTGTACACGGATACCTGTGAGAAGATTCTATGCAATACAAGGACTGACCCTCTCTTGGGAAAAGGTTGGTTCTGTGGCTGAGCCGGCATCGTCATCGTCCTGTCCGCTTGTCTGTCCCATGGGAACCTCTCTTGGATAGAAGCTCCCCTCAAGGTCAGGCCCCAGCCCTAGCCTGCCGTTGGCGCCACAGCCCCTGCAAACACAAGTGAAGAAAGAGACGCCATTCTGTTCATGACTCTGAAAGTATTCTTATGCGTGCCTTCCCACCAGGAGAACACGGTCCCGTCCTCCGCACTGCATAAAGAGTGCTTGCTTCCAGCGGCTACGGCCACTATCCTCTCTCTGTCCCTGAGTTCGCTACCGCCGGGTCTCTTCCTTGTTCTTCGAACGAAGTAGTTCACCAGGACCGGTGCCGTGGCGTTCTCTGTGCTGACAGTTCCCAGATTTCCGAAGGCATTATTTCCCCAAGCGTACAGGTTACCAGCATCCGTCACGACCAATGAGTAGTCTCCGCCGCACGCTATTTGTGCAGCTTTTTGATTCTCTGGCAGCCATACAAGAGACGGCTTGGGATGATCTCCATCACAAAGCTGCAGCGACCAGAGAAATGCAGTTCCGCCACGCTGGACCACGACCAGTGCATGATTGTCGCCGCACGAGACCTGTATACACACCATTTGCACAGCCATCTTTGTCACTGACTCCTTCTTTACTCACCTGTTGACACATGTACCGGCGAAAGTGCGGCAGCGGCGCCGTCGGGCTTGCCCCGGCAGGCCACAAAAAGAGCTGCGCTTGTCCATCTGATGATGCGACGACGAGCGTCGTCCGACGGCCGAGAGCTGCAGTCACCGCGACTGGCGGGAGTCTGTCACAAGGCATCTGATTCACTCGAACTTTGGGATGAGTTGCAACTCGAATTGCCGTCACTTTTGTGTTCTGGTGTTCGTCTTTTCCTTCCTTTCCGTCCTTCAGCGTCCCTTTTCCTTCCGATCGCGGCCTTGATCGCGGGGCGCTGGCGGCGCGAGCTCATACTGATCAGCCCCCCTGCTATTTGACGTAATCACAGTCTCAATCAAGTTTGTCTCAGTCAGAGTCGCAATGGAGGAAGAGGCGGCGATGGTCCTGAAGGAGCAGATCGAGGATGCTGCGTTTGCCCCGATTGATAGAGTGGAGGTGCTCAATGACATGCATGTGAGGCTGCATGACCTGTTGGGCTGCCCGGAGGCTCTGCGGGAGGCGAGGGTGCTGCGGCAGCTGGAGTTTCAGCGCCAGACAATCAGTGCGGAGCTGCTGGATAACCTCAGCCTAATCGGCAGCACACTGCAGGTAAGCATTCCGTTTTCTGACACCTGACACATCACGTTGATGTGACATTCTTCCCTTGTCTATCTGTCTTGTCTGTGGGTCAGGTTCTTCGTCTGCGGTCGTGTGGGCTGAGGAGTTGCGAGTTTGTCTTGGCCCTCACTTGCCTCGAGTCACTCGACCTTAGCCGCAACGCCATTACCTCGCTCCCTGACGGCATGCACAATCTCACCGCCCTGCGAAGTGTATGCCGAGCCGAGCACCGAGCAATGTGTTCATGCAGGTGACGCATATCATTGCTGCTTGTGCCTTCAGGTGGACTTCTCCCACAATCAATTGGCGACCGTCAAGGCCCTCAGACGGCTCACGCGCTGCCCAGCTCTCGCTGACCTGTCGATTGCCGGCAACCCGCTGGTCTCTCAGAGCTACGCAAGGCAGCAGATACTGGTCCTCTTCCCGAAGCTGGCGCGACTTGATGGAGAGCACGTGAGGGCGAAGGAGAGGGAGACGGCCCGCCAGGCCATGGAGAGGAGGAACAGCACGGGCAATATGATGGTCAGCCAGGCGGCCACGGCCATGGCCATGGCCACACCGTCCCGGCTGCGTGGGGCGAGGACGTGGGACGAGACCCATGGGGATACGGGGATGAACAAGCTGCTCGAGGCGGAGAACATGTCATTGAGGGATCAGCTGTCCGCCATGCACAGATTCATGGAGGAGAAAATGAAGACGCTAGCTGAGACCACTGAAGAGCTTGCGCGCGTCAAGCAGGAGGTGAGTGAGGAGGGGGGATCGGGGTGCCTTGATCGGTGTGTATCTATAGCACGTGGGCGTGGCGTGTGCAGGTTGAGTTCTCCAAAATCGACCGTGCTCTCGAGACTCCCTCCTCTGCCTCATCTGCCCGGAGGCTGTCATCACGGCGGGGAGAGAGGAACGGCCACGGTCTTCCTCCCCTACCACCACACCCCCACAACGGGCACACCATGGCGCCAGATGGCAGGTGAGCAACACACACGGCCAACAGGCCTACGATCCTGCTGCTCTCTTCTACATGGTCGGTCTTGTCTTCACTGTCAGGACGTTTGTTTCCGTGGGTGTGGACCCCCACTCGACGGACTCATCCGGCAGCTTCCCCGTCCACCCGCCATCGCAGTCCGTCACGCCGGCTGTCACTCTCTCGGCGACCGAGTCCATCCCGCCCGCAGACACCACATACACCTCCCCTCCCACACACACCACACACGTTCACCCGCAGCAGCAGAGGAGGAGAGAGCTCGGCCAGAGCCCGATCATTGGATTCGGCCCTCCTGCCGCCTTCGATGGCGGCGCGACGGACGGGAGCTTAGGCCGCTTCCGGCACCCCTCCCATGTGAGCATGGAGATGGGCAGCTTCCGCACTGCGTCGTCGGGCGTTTCGGCTGTCCATGGTGTGGCCAAGAAGGAGAAGGCGGGGCCGAGTCATATGGGAGGACCGCCCGCACTGAGCGGGAGCCGGCTGTCTGACGTGAGAGTGCTGGAGGACGTCTTGATGGCGAGCGGACAAGGCGGCAAGGCTGCTGCGGACCGCCGAGATCAGAGGGAGATTGGAGAGAGCACGGCGGGTCTGCCGCTTGACGAAGGGCTCGACAGCACGGCGGATCATGCAGAGAGGCCCTCCCCTCGCGCGGCCCTCGCCCAGCCACCTCACACAGTGGCGCATGACGAGCCTGCTTCCGGCCCCTCTTCTCCCGTCGTCGCGGACCCTCAGCCCCCTCCTGACAGCCATTCCGCACACGACGCACCGGCGCCATCGCCATCGCATCCGGATGAGTCCTATCGCATTACGCCGCCTGCCCCGCCTTCGCGCTCACATGTCGACACCGCCGCCCAATCGCACGGCCCCCATAGTTGTATCGATGACGAGCCGAGACCATTGGCAACCGACGGCCCCGCGCAAGAGGAGGTCGAGGTGGTAGTGGCTGCGCAAGGGGCAGGAGGGGAACTGGGCGACCCTTTTAGCGTGGAGGTCGAGCTGAGCTTCGACGACATTGGACGGGTGCAGACGAGTGATCAGTCCAATCAGCCGTCGCCGGGCAGCCCATCAGCTGATGGTGGGGGTGGGGGCAAGATCCCAACGGTTGTCGTCCGCAGCTCCTCTCGTCCAGACGAGCAGCAAGGTGGCGGATTGTCATCGGATTTCGTGTCGCTGGCTGCTCTGGCCAAAGAGGCAGGGGTGGGCGGAGGTGGCGAGAGGGAGAGGGCTGCGGATGCCGAAGGCAGTGGCGAGCGGCCCTTCAGCTTCATGTCGTCGCCACAGACCTTCTCGCCGAGCGCAGACACCCTGTCGACGGGACAGATCGATGGTGGGTGGTGCAAAAACACGGAGGACCGACAGACGCATCGATATCGCCCTGCATGGTTTGTGTGTCTTTACTGACCAGAGCGTCTTGCTTATGAATCGCAGCAGCTAGAAGCCCTTGCTCCGTCCCCAGCCCACGCCTCCCCATTCTTGGCCTCACCCCGCATCCCTGTCCACGCCACCCGTGCCGCCACTGGAGAAACCAAGGCGTCCCACAAGACAGCGGGCAGTCAAGCCTTGTCGCCCGTCGCATCCCAGAGCCGCACGACAGCACCGTGGCAGCCGGAGTCCACCCCCCTGTACGCCTCCTCTGAGGCCACCGCGTTCATGCTGCCACACCGAATGAGTGGTGATGGGAGTGGGGACAAGGCCGTCGCTCCTCCCCTCCCCTGCCCCTTCCCACCCCCACTACCGGCATATGACGACGATTCCGTCTCGCTCTCGCAAGTGGGCAACATGAGCCCGCACCTCGGAGATGAGAATCTGCGGCCGTCCGAGCTGCTCAAAATCCCGCCCTTCGTGCCCTTCTCTTTCAACAAGTTCGCCACCCCTGTCATCGAGACTAGGATGGCGCACGAGCAGGAGGACGAGGTGGCCAGGAAGGTTGAGGCCATCAGGGAAGGACGGAGAGATCGGCCAGCTGTCGCTATGGTCCCTCCTGCGCCTGTTGATGCTAATGCTAATGCTGATGTCGCCAATCTTCTTGACGAAAGCGGCCCAACCGAAGCACCACCGGCCCTAGGTGCATCACAGAAGTCGCAGCCTCAATCTGAGCCCACACCCAAGGCCAGTCTATCCAAGCCTGCCGACGAGACCCAACAAGAGACTCAACACACTCCCGTGGTGACCAGGAGCACCGCCGAGCCGGCCTCAATCCCAATTGTGGAGAGTGGCCGCGAGAGGAGTCCATCGCAGCAGCGGCGGCAGCAGCAGCAGCCAGCATTGGGTGAGGAGAGCTCGTTTAACGAGGAGTTGCGGCGTCGGCTGGGTGAGCTTCAGGGCCAAAACGGCGCGCTAGCCGAGGAGAGGGAGCGGCTCGAGAAACAGCTCAAGGACGCAGAGGTCAGCAATATGCTCACCACATCACCGTTGTCACTCACTGCACGTCAATAAACTGTCCTGTTGCCAACAGGACCAGCTGTCATCATACCAGAGCAGGTACGAGACCCTCTCCCAGAATCTTGAGCAAGCCCACAGCGCATACGTCGGCGGTGTGGGTGCTCTCGCCGCCACCCCCGGTGCACCTGCCGAGTACCAGCAGCTGCACAGATGTTTCCAGAGAAGGGCCCAGCTGCAGCGGCAGATTGATGGAGGCGACGGTGCTGCTGATGCGCAGGGGGAGCTTCGTGGAGTGGAGGCAGAAATCGACAGGCTGGAGGGAACCTTGCAGCAGCGGCAGGCGTCTGTCAAGAGGGACCAGGATTGTACTGGGGGAGCTGGGGCAGCATCGAGGTCATCCATTGAGCAGGTGAGGTACAGATACCCTGAGTGTAGCGTCCGACATTGAGGCGAGCTGTCTGTCTGTCTGTCTTTATGCAGCAACTTATGCGCCTTCGCGAGCTGGAGCAGAAGCTCACCTGCGATCACCAGGGCCACCTGCGAGACTGGCAGAAAAGGGAGGGCCGCGTCACTTCCCTCAGACAGCAGCTGACCCACCTGGAGCAGCGGCAAAAGGAGGTCACCGAGCACGCTGCCAAGGTCAGCCGCGCCATCAGTCTGCAGCACCTCATGCCCCACGACACAGCCCAGCTACCCATTCCCGACCTGATGGCGAGTCGCACCACGGCCGCCACCCGCGACGAGCCAGAGGGCAGCCCCCACTCTCGCCTTCAGGAGACCTTCTCTTTCGGAGAGAGCACCGACACTCGGCCGCCACCGCGGCCAGCAGACAAGTCCCCAGGGCAAGAGGCCGCACGTGGAATCTTCCGGTCCACCGATGAACGCATAGCTGTCTGCGTCATGGCGCCTTCGACCCATCAAAGCGTGACGGAATGTCGGAGGGCTCACGAGGCGGCCGGGAAGGAGAGAGGGCTGACGACCACCGAGGGTCAGCCAACAGGCAGCACCGAAGCTCGGGCGACTGAAGAGGAGGCCAAGGGCGTGGAGAGCCTCGCTGAAGACAGCAAAGACAGCGATGCGATGCAGGCTGCGAGGGCTGCACGTGATGGCATTGCATCAGCCAGACAGGACAGGAAGGAGACAATGGATGTGCTCTCAAGGTGCGAACAGCTCACACACAAGAGACGGTGGCACAGGCACCTCGATCCACGTCACTCACAACATCTGCCGTGTTCCTTCCTTTTCTTTCAGCGTGCTCAACAAGGCCACGTCGTTCGACGCCGCGCCACTCGCGGACCAGCAGACCAACACCGACCTCACGAACGAGGCGCCCGCCATCATCCAGTGCCTGCTCGACCGCCTCCTCGCCCAAAACACTCATATCTGCCGACTCGAGCAGCAGCTCGGCATCCAGCAGCAGACCCCACAGCTGATCGACCGGCCCAGCGAGCAGGATACCCCCCACACACCTCAGGAGCCAGAGCGGCCTCCAGTCGACAGCCGAGCCGATTGGCACCATCCGAAGGCCATCGATACGGCCACGCTGACCTTCACCCCTCCCCCATTTCCGATGCGCCATATGGCCAGCTCGTACGCACAGCTGGTGGGGCAAGGCAGCAGAGGGAGAGAGAGGGGGGATGGTTTCATTCGACCAATGCAGCCGCCTGTCCGTCGGCCGCCCACACCAATGGAGCCCGAAACGTTCGGCATCGACCCATCGCACCAGCCGTCCCCCGTGTCCGATCCCAGCCATCGTTATTATCGCAGGCCACCTCGGCACCCCAACTCATTTGGCCAGCCGAAGAACGGCCGACAGCGCGATCGACGGTCTTATGCGCCTCTGGGATGGTCTAGGCCACCGGCCTTCGACACCATGACAGCACCTCAGCAGCCGGGGGAAGCACGCGCCGAAAGCGGTCGGCCGACCATCAGGGTGACACCGCCCGGCGATGTCCCAGCGTGTCATTCAACGGCCCCCCAGAAAAGTGAGGGCCTGCCGCCTCGGCTCTTGTCGATCAGACAGCGGCTCAAGTCACGCGACCCGTCCGCTGAGCGAGCGCCCTGTGACTTCACCCTCGGCCCCCTCTATCACCTTCGCGGCGGAATGACAGAGGTCACCCCCAGGCGGTCGAAGGGCCATGCACCGTTTCGGAGGGATGGTGTGAGAAACCCTGAAAGGTGCGTCGGTTGCGTGTGGGTGGCAATTGACCATAGAAAGCAAAGGGCTCTGAATGCATTCGTGTGCAGGTTTGACGCTTCGTCGATCTATAGTGGGCGCTACTTTGTTGTGGACGTCTCGCCTCCGGCCGACCCACCCGCCCCCTCCCATGCGACCGCTGTGTGTGGCGAAGAGGGGCGGATACAGTGACGGCTGGCTGGCTGAGTGTGTGTGTCTGTGAATAGACTGACTGACTTGCTGTCAGTGGGCGGACAGAGACAGACAGATACGCATCTATTTGTGTATTTGTTTGCATGCGTTTGCAAGTAAGCTGACTGGACATCCCATGAGACTTGCGATGGGCCGGCCGGAGGATTCCTTCATCTGTGGTGGTCAGCCGTGTAGTGTCTCGTTATGCCCTCACTCGGATGCTTGACACATTACACACACACGGGGGTCCTTTACATCCACATGGCAATGCACAGCGACAGGTAACGGCAATGATCCAGATGCCCAAAGTCAGTCGCCCATAGCAAAAGCACGTTCATATCGACAAAAACGCTCTGACCCCTCCCCTCCCCTCTTGTCTGCCTGCAATCTATCAGTCAGTCAGTCAGTCAGCCGGCTGGCCAAACCACCAGAGCTTCTTGTGCAGGCCCACCACCTCCCCAACGATCACCAGAGCAGGCGGCTTGATCTTCGGATCGGCACTCTCCACCAGCCCAGGCAGGCTCTCCAGCGTGCCGACCAGCACCCTCTGCTCGGGGGTGGTGCCCTGCTGCACCACAGCTGCCGGGCGCGCTGGCGGCATCCCGTGGCTTATCAGCTCGCTGAAGATCTTACCCAGACTCAGCTGAGACAGACGCAACACACACACACACACAGACAGACAGACACACAGGCAGACAGGCAGATGCAGACGATCTGTAAGAGTTGCTGGTGTGTGGGTGATATCGCCCTCCCTCCCTCCCTCCGTCCCTCACCATGCCCATGTAGAATACGAGTGTCTCCCTGTTGCTGTGCACCAGATTGTCCCACGGCAGCTCCAGCACATGGTCCTCACGCGCATGGCCAGTCAAAAAACGAACCGACTGCGCGTAGTCCCTGCACACACACACACACACACAAGCACACACTCCCATCCCGTCCAAGCCAAGTGTCTGTCGGTGAGTGCGCTGCCCACTGTACCGGTGTGTGAGGGGAATCCCACAGTATGCGCTGCATCCCGATGCGGCGGTGATGCCCGGCACCACCTGGAAGGGGATCTGGTGGGCACACAGCTTCACCAGCTCCTCACCACCACGACCAAAGATGAACGGATCGCCGCCCTTCAACCTGATGGCCAATGCGATGCGATGCAATGCGATGCATCCAATGGATGGATGGATGGATGGATGGACACACACACACACAATGTGCACACACCGACCCATGGCATGGCTGCCACGTGTGTGGTGGCTTCCAACGTACCTGAGCACTCGCCTTCCCTTGAGCGCCAGTTGGGTCAGGAGGTCGTTGATCTCGCTTTGTGGGATGGTGTGGTGCTTCGGTTCCTTCCCGGCGTTGATCATCTCGGCGTCGCGCCGACAAAGATCGAGAATCTGCAGTTGGACAGGCAGGCAGGCAGGCAGCGAATGGGCAGGAATGGCGCCCTTCTCTTGTGTGTGTGTGTGGCTGCACCTCTTTTGAGACGAGTCGGTCATAGACGACCACATCGGCTTGCTGCATCAGACGCAGTGCCCTGACAGGTGGTGAGGTGACATATCCACACACACACACATGCGCACATGAGTGATGGTCACCCAGTCTGTCACTCTATCCCATATATTGTCCTCCGTTCGTTTCCTCTGTTTGTTCCACTACCTGAAGGTGAGCAGGTCGGGGTCTCCAGGCCCAGCCCCCACCAGATAGACCTCACCGACACCGCCGCTCTTCTCCGCTCCTGACGCCATCGCACCGTTGGTCGCTTCTCTGTCGCTCGCAGACGGCCGAGGGGCAGCCGGACAGGTGGGTCCTTCCTCAGACGCGGCGGCTGTCGCTGCTTCGCGCAGCTTCGTTTCCAGCAGTGCTTCGGCGTCATTCTCGCGGTTGGCGAACACCTGATAGATAGAAGACAGGCAAGGACGTCCGTCTGTTGTCAGTCGGCTGTCCGTGCGCCATCCATCGGCCAGCTTAGCTTACCAGCTCAGCCACAGGCCCCTCGATCACCTCCTCCCAGAAGCCCCTCTTGGCGTTGAGGCTCTCTACCATGGCCTTGAGCCGATCCCGACACCGACCGATGAGAGATGCCAGCCGACCATAAGCCATCGGAATGAGCGACTCGAGCTTGGTCCGGAGCATCCTCGCCAGCACGGGGGAGGCCCCACCGGTTGACACCGCAATGACCACGGGAGACCGGTCGATGACGGAGGGGAAGATGAAGCTGCACAGCGATGGGTCAGACACCACGTTGACCAGCGCGTTGGTCTCTTCCGCGTCCCTCGCCACTTGCTCATTCACAGAGGGGCTGTCCGTCGCCGCAACCACGAGCATGTAGCGCTTCTCCTGAAGCAGGGACGAGGCATAAGGTACGTCCAGCCACTCGAGCGGCAGGTTCTTGACCTTCTCGACGACATCTGGGGCCACAACAGTGACTTGTGCGCCGCAGCGGAGCAGCAAGGCCGCCTTGCGATGGGCAATCTCGCCACCGCCGACGATGAGAGCCGAGCGCCCCTTGAGGTTGAGGAACAATGGGAAGTAATCCAAAGGAGCCTCTGACATTAGATCTGTACTGAGCACTGCCAGCACAGCACCCGCGGCTGGTCGTCAGCCCTCCCAAACTCTTCTTCTCCGCTTCTCAATTATATTGCTCTGCGAGCTTAAGCTTGCAGATCTTTTGCTGCTTTCTTTCGGGAGGGAGCAGTTCTGAGCACTGCCCAGTTGCTGAGGAGCATGACTCGGGTGAAAGCCGAAGCGGCGGATGACAGGAGAGATTCGCTTGAAAGGTCAGCGTGATCCAATTCATTTCTGGAGCCACCAGCTGTTGCCGTCGCGGGCATGTTTTGATGCTCGTGATGATGACACCGATGCTGCACCGCATTGCGTTATTCATCGTTATACTCGGCCATCTGGCATTATGCGTTCCCTCCCCGTCTTCGTCTGAGCGTCGTTCGCTCAGCCGGCAGCTGCGGCAACATGTACTACCAGATGCAGAACCTGACGAGGATGATGATGCACTGGGGGCCCCCGACCAGCGCCTGAAGCTCAAGAGCTTCTTCGCCGACCATGAGTCTCCCCGTCTGTTGTCGCCGTCCTTCCTGGGCCTTTACACTCGTGTGGCCGGCCTCGACCAGCCGTGCGACGCGTGCGAGAGTGACGCTGCGGAGCTAGCGGGAGTGTTCAATGGCACGGGACTTGGCGGCGAGTGGACCGGCAATGCGACCGAGTATTGTGATGGGCTGAGGCGGGAGAGGCTGCTGGCCTGCACTACCTTGGAAGAGAGAGAGGAGAGGGGGACTGAGGTCAATGAGACAGAGAGGGGGGCGGAGCTGGGCTACCTGCTGATAGTCGATCAGAGAGCGGGGTGCAACGCGACGTCTGAGTGGACCGAGTTCCCCTCACGGATTTTGGTGCTGCCTCACATCTTGGGACTCATTGTACGGCAGTGCGGGGCGCTGCAGGGCGCCCTTACTGTGCCGGAAGCACCCGAGTCGTCGAAGCTGAGGGTAGTGTGGCTGACAGATCAGCTTGTGCATGTCGACAACAACACCGACACACTAGAGGTGTTCGGGGGCTATCCACGGCTGCGCGGGCTGGCCTTTGAGAGGACACGGATCAGGTGAGCCAGCACGACTTTATGTATGCGTGATCGGTTGACTGACTATGCTCTGTGTGTGTGATTGTGCCTGCGTCTGTCAGGGCTCCGCTGCCCTCTGCAATCGGCAATTTGACCAACCTTCGCTTCCTCGTGATGAGGGAGAGCTCCTTCTATGGTGAGTGAGTGATACCGACCGCACAGACAGCAAGAGGTACACCCACAACACTCCGACGGCCCGCCTCTTGCATCCATCGTCGCGAATGCAGGTACGATTCCTCCGTCTTGGCGCAACATGACGAGCCTGATGGCGCTGGACCTGGGCGACAATCGGCTGGCGGGCCGAGTTCCGGAGTGGTTCGGCGAGATGCCTCGGCTCAAGTGGATTGATCTAGACTTCAACTACTTCGAAGGAAGGGCGCCGCCTTTGCCCAGGACGGCTGAGCTCGTCGAGTTGGCAGACAATTTCTTCAGCTCGATACCCTTCTCCTGGCGAGACCTCCCAAACCTGGGTAGACATGACATCAGCCAGTCGAATAGCAGACAGACTGTGTCGGTCAGTTCACTGTGTCTGCCTTTGATGTGTTGATTCAGTGTATATGGGCCTGGCCAACAACAGGCTCCAATCTTGGCCGTTGTGGGGCGCGTCAAACCGGCTGACCTGCCGTGGTGTGGCGCCAGAGGTGCTGTCTGAGGAGGCCAGGGGCGGCGTCAGCGTCGATTGGCCGAGTCTCAACTGGCTCGTAGTTTCCCACAACAACCTCAATATGTCAGCGTCAACCTTCCTCAGATCAATCGCCAAGGCGCCGAATCTCGCGGCACTTGGTGAGGGAGGGAGTGGGGGACGCACACCAGACCGATTTGTTGTGGGAGGATTTTATCGTCCGTCCTGGTGTGCTGTGCTTCTTTCAGTTGCCCGAAATGCCGGGCTGTATGGTCGTGTGGGCTTTGAGGCGTGGGAAATGTTGGAGGACGACACAGATGGGTGCTCCACTGCCCAGGGCTTCCGGCAGCTGGTGCGTCTGGAGCTGAGCTCCAACAACATCACCCACCTGACTGGCTGGCCGGGCACCCGCACAGGGGGCCCCCCACCTCCCACTCTCGACATAGCCAACAACCAGCTCGTCGAAATCGCCCCAAAATGGTTCGAATCGCTCTATGTGGACGTCACGGGCAACAAGGAGTTACAGGGCCCCGTGATGCAGCTGCGGGAGAACCAGAACTGTGAGGTGTTCGGGGATCACTGGGACGGCCTGGGGGTGGAGAGGGCGGGAGAGGGATGGGTGCCGATGCTCTACGCGGACGCGGACGGCTTTCGGGTCAGGAGCTCCATGGGGTGGAAGGCAGAATGCACAGAGGCCTGTGCGCCAGACAGGTGGGTGAATAATGAGAATTGACCGACTGACAAAGTCACAATTAAGCAAGCCCAGCCCACCTGTCTGTCTGTCGGTGTGTGGTGTGTATCTATCAGAGTGGTCCGTCTGGACCCCGCTTACAACGCCACACAGCTCTGCCGATGCCGCCCGGGCACATATGGGCTCGGTGACGACTGCAAGCTCTGTCCACCGGGCACCTACTCCCACCACGACATGCCTTTTGGCACCACACAATGCCGCGCATGCCCTGCCTATTCCACGACTCTCGACAATCTCCATCACGTCGACACCAGCAGGCTGGCGGACATTGCCGAGCAGCGGACAGCGGCAGGGGTAGGGGCTGGGGAGGGTGATGACGTCGACATCTACAAGGACGTTGCGCTGCCTGACTCCGTGACGGCCTGCAAGTGCCAGCCTGGTGAGCAGAGAGAGAGAGAGAGGAAAGGCATGACAGAACTCCAACCAATGTGTCTGTGTCTGTCTGTATGGGTGTCTTGGATGTTGTGTGTGTGTTATGCTCCCCTAGGGTACTTCTTCTACTTTGAGAATGCGACAGACGGTGTGTGCGCTGCCTGCCCTAAGGGCACCTACAATGAGGGCTTCGGGGACAGCTCCATCCACGACTGCCTCCCCTGCCCGGCCAGCGACATGACCACCAAACACACAGCCACCACATCGGGCAGAGAATGCTACTGCAGGTACACTTACACACACACACACACACCCTTACACGCACCCATTTCATCGACATGCCTTCCTTCTCCTCGGTTTGACAGGCACGAGTTCACGCTTCGCAATCTCACATACCGGTCTTTCGACGCGGTCCGATGCCGCGAGTGCCGCGAACTTTCCGGCGAGGTGTGCGACCCCTCGTGGGCAGGCCCTGTCCTGCGGTGGGACGGACAGGTGCTGGTCACCGACGACACCCTCGACAGCTGGCTGTGGGAGGATGTGGTGGCCTCGGCCGCCCGGGCTCTGGGGGTGGGTGTGAATCGGGTGCTGGGGACGGTGCATCGGAGCAACTGGCTCGAGACCGAATTCCATCATCTACATGGGGGAGAGGGTGCGAGAGGGAGGAGACAGCTGCGGAGAGGTGTCGACGGAGAGCATGAGTATGCCGACGGTGTTGGCGCTGTGGATGATAGCTATGATGATGACTATGACGACCACCATCCGCTGACAGCGCTCGATGTCCTACGGCAGCACAGACACATGGGGGATGGCTTTAGGGGGGAGGGGGAGAGCGGATCGGCGGTCTTTTTCCGGTTTGAGGCTAACGCCAAGGAACTGGACGGATCGGACCTCTTGACACTATTCCACGTGAGACAGACAGACAGACAGACAGACGGCTCCGGCCAGCTGCAGTCAGTCCATGTGTGTGTGCGTGTCTGCAGGAGCTGACACATGCCAACGAAAGCAGCACGAGTGGACATGAGCATGAGAGACATTCCCTCTACCACCCAGTCGTCCCCGCCCCATACGACCGCTGGACCGTCCGCTGGCACACCAATAATGGCCGCAACAGCCGGCAGCAACCCACTATCGCCAACGTCCTTCCCCCTGGCGGCACGCTGCAGTCGTCCTCGCTGTACCTCACCCTCGGTGGGCTGCCCGAGGCGGCTCCTGGCTACTATCGTCTTGGGCACACACTTAACATCGAGAAGTGTCGTGTGTCGCCGCGTGGGTGTCTTGGGCGGAATCAGTGTGCAGCGGGGCTGGAGGGGCTATACTGTGGGACCTGCAGGCCAGGTAAGCCAACCCGGGCCCGGGCACCACAAACAAGCCAGCCGGGGGCGGGGGTGGCGCGATTGTCATCCATCCATCCATCCATCTGTGTGGGTGTCTTGTAGGGTACTGGAGTCAGGACAGTGCCGCATTCTGCCACGTGTGCCCCTCTCTCGCCAACAACCTCTGGATGATAGGCGGCTGTCTGCTGCTCTTCTCCTTCTTGATCATCATCTGGGCGGCACTCCAGTTCAGGCGGGGCCTAGCGCCATTCGATGTGGGCACCACGGCGCTCAAGATCCTGGTCAACTGGTCGGCGTGTGTGTTTCCGCTGTCCAATGTGACCCCTGACGAGGCTAGGCTGGATGGATGGGTGTCCAGTGGGCTGAGGGCCGTGTCGTGGGGCACGGTGCTGCCGGTGTCCTTCCTTAGTGTCGACTGCCTTGCCCAAAGTGAGTGTGAGGCAGTCCGGACGGACACGCTTGTCGAAGAGAGAGAGAGAGAGAGGTGTGGATGATGTGTGTGTGTCTGGTGTGCTGTGTGCAGGTATGACGGGCAACACTCTTGACAAGATCTTCCACTGGGTGACATTGGGATGGTTCTTCTCGCCCTTCCTGATCGCCTTCTGCGTCATCTTCATCAGCTTCCTCATCTGCTCTATCGCCACCCTGGCCACACGCCCGTCCTCGCCCTCTCGCCCCGCCAGCAGGCCACAGACTCCCTCGGGCACCTCCCATTGGCTGAGCATACCCAGGTCGCTGCTCAAGTCTCTTCGTCGCAGCACCCACCACCTCCACCACCACCACAAGAGCACCTCGCCCCCTGACCACGAGCATCATCTGCCAGCCTACAACACGTCGAGCACTGTGTCAGAGAACAACAGCTTCAAGCTGAGCTTCAAGTCGCATGTGAACCCTTCTGGTGCTGGGGGTGGGGGCCAGCGGCTGTTGGGGATATGGCGGATCTACCATCTGCAGCCTTCATTGGATGTGGTGGATGAGACCAGCGGCGTGAAGGAGACGGCTGTCAAAGGGTGTGGGGAGCGGCTGAAGGACTTCCTGAAGGACACGACTCCAGTGCTCATCATCGCCTTGTTTCTCATCTACCCAATCGTCGTCACACAGGCAAGCACCAAGGCAGTGCAGTGGATCCTTCCTGACGTGTGCGGTGTGCTTATTGATTGCCCTCCCTCCCTGTTGGCGGCTGGATTGTTGGCTGACATGACTGACAGATGCTGCGCCCCTTCAATTGTCGTTGGCTGGATGTGCCCTACTCCCCTGAGGGCGACGCAGCCCTCGCCAGCCCCTTTGAGGTGCAGTCCATCCGGCGAGAGCTCCACCTCGCCGCACACCTCAACGCACAGTGCTACAAGGTCCGTCCCCTCCCACACACACACACACACCGCATCCCTGCCTCCCTGCTGTACGTGTGTGTGTGTGTGTGTGTGTGTCCCCAGGGTGTTCACGCCTCGGCGGCGTGGATCGGCGGCGTGGGGCTGCTGGTCTGGGGCGTGGGCACGCCGCTCATCGCCTTCATCCTGGTGGGCAGACAGGTGGACCACCTCAACAACCAGGACGTCAGACGGCCCTTCGGCTTCCTGTATAAGGAGTACAAGCCCTCAAGGTGGTACTGGGAAACGGTGATCGTCGTCCGCAAGTTCTGCGTCCTGCTGGTGATGGCCATCAGCCCATCGGCTGACGGGGTCGCACCCCGACTGGGCTTCTATGCGCTTGTGGCCGCCTTTGCGCTCACCCTGCACCTCTACAACAAGCCGTATGACTCAGCCAAATTCGGTGAGTAAGAACCTCCCCCCCCACACACACAGAGCGCAACTGACAGCCTGCTGTTTGTTGTCTGCAGAGCGTCTGCATCACGTCGAGACCTTCGCTTTGTTCGTGTGGCTCATGTCGGTGCTCATGCTCTCCGTCGTCATCCTTGCCGGTCCTGATGAGGTCTTCAGCCGCTTCCTGGGCTTCCTCATCTTCGCGGGATGTGTGGGCTTCATCGTCTACGTCCTCGGCATCTTCCTCTTCTCGTCCGAGACCCTCCGGATTTGGACAAGGAAGCTCGTGTCGCCACTCAGCAGCAAAAAGACTAAGAAGAGCAGCAACAAGGAGACGCCCCACCCCCTGTGGACGAGGCTCTGCGGCAATGAAGCACGGCAGAAGAAGCGATCCAGGGCGCCACGCGTCAACATCGACTTCATCCAGCGGACCTTCACCGTCGTGCAGAGGAGGAGAGACCGAGACCCCGCCAACCCAGATGCAAGATCTATCTGGGGCTGGATCAGGAACTTCTTCCTGCGCCACCGACGAGCAGCAAATGAGGAGAGGGAGACCGGCAGATCCACAGCCGCAGTCAAGGTCGATGGCGCGCAGGAGCGGCGCTTTTTCACCCTTCTGCTGTGCGAGATGCTGGACTATTTCGTGAACACCCTTCTGCTGGAGTCTTTGCCCTTCGACTGGATGGAATTCTGCTTTCGGCAGATACTCGTGTGGAAGCGCACCGGGCAGCTGGAATCCCTTGGACTCAAACCGCTGTTCAGGCGGGGCGGCTCGCTGCATTCGCGCGGGGGGCCGTCGGCTGTGGTGGTGGACACGACGGACATGGCGGATGACGGCCAGATGATGACGGCCTCACGCAAGACGAGCCTCTTCTATTCTCGTGCGTCGGGGCTGACATTCAAAGATCCCTTCGACCGAGAAGAGGAGGTCAGTGAGTGACCGACCAGCGGGGAGGGGGGTGTGCTGCATGGATGTGCGTGTTGGTTGGCTTGTCCCTCTCTTTGCAGGAGAGGCGTGAGGACGAGCTGGAGGTGATGGCCATGCTGACGTTCCGGTTCCCCAGATCCATCACCGACGTCCTGCCCGCGGAGCTCAGGCCGCCAGACGCACCACAGCCACAGCCACAACCACCATCTCCCACACCAAGCGACGGCCCCTCACGCCCTCCAACTCCTGCCCCCTCTCCACCCGAGCTTACCCCCCAGCCGTCGCTGTCCTTCACCCCCATCCCACGCAGATCCATGAGTGCCCTCCCTGCCCACCCTGCTCACGCCACCCCATCCAATGCGACGACGCTGGCCATGGTGATGGAAGGCGACTCGGTCGTGCCGACAGAGGCCAAGTCGGTGCCTGGTGCTGCTGCTTCTGGTGGTGCTGCTGGGCGGGGTGGTCCCCCACTTGTCATGAGCCCGTCCCAATTGGAGTCCCTTGGAGGAGACAGAGAGGGAGGGAGGGAGAGGGGCGACGGCTACGCACCAACTCCAACTACACCTGGTGGTAGTGCGGCATTCCATCTGTCGGTGGAGGAGGTCTACACGGGGCTGTACTCGATGAAGCGGCTGCCCAAGCACCGCATGAGAAGACGACTGCAGATGTTCGGTCGGTTGCGGGGGTGGGAGGGGTGGGGGGAGGGCGAGATACCGCCTCTGCTGATGCAGAGCCACCAGAGTTTGTCGGCTGGCACCCCAGGCAAAGGCGCAGAGGGGGTGGGGAGAGACGCGAAAGACGAGAGTGCATGATATGATTCGTGTCAAGAACGGCGCTGTTGTGTTGTTTGCAAGCGGCTGGCCAGCTAGCTGTGTGGATCGGTAAGAACGGTAGGTAGGGCTCTTTTGTGTTATGTATGTCTGTATGTGTTTCTGTAAGTAGCTCAGCTCCGTCTATCATTTTATCCATTGATGTCATGTGCGTGCGTGATTTCATCAGGCTGCGTGATTTCATCAGGCAGGCAGGCAGTGTCCGCATTGTTTGTGTAGGCAGGCACCGCACCGTAGGTAGGTAAGAGTGCAGTGTGTGTGTGAGTGTGTGTGAGAGAGAGACATGCGATGCGATTCCGTGTCATTTATCTATCCATCGGACATGTTGACGAACTGGGTCCAGTCAATGAATGAATGGTGTCTGTCGATGATGGATGAGTGTGATGTGCGTGGGTATCCGTGACTCAGATCGATGACTTTGCAGCACTCACCGATATGACCAAGCACAGCCCCGTTGTGTGTGCTCCGTCGTGCCGGTGAATGCGTGGATGATATCGATCCGAGTACAGGCATACACGACGAATGAAACAGACAATACATACCGGTGAGGTAGGTGCATGGGATTCTCATGATCCACCACACCCACCCACACACCCGTCCGCCGCTCCACACATCCATCCATCCGTCAAGGCAGCTCTTGCGCACCTTCCGCATCGTCCTTGCTCAGTGCCAGCATCAGGTCCATCAGCGCCTCGCGAGTCACGTCATCCTGAACACACACACACACAAGCATATTCACGCAGCGCATCATTGACACCATAAAAAGCTGAACGTGTTCATTCCATCCACTCACTCACCTGCAGGTCGTCTTTGTGCGCCCACAGCCTCTCCATCAGCTCCTCGACAGCTGTCCCACCCCTCAGCACAGACACAAATCGCCCCTGGCCCCAGAATGCGAAGTCAGCCGGGCGCAGCACCCTCCGCCGATCCAAGATGGCATCGACAATGGCCTTACCATCCACCGGTGGGCGACGCGCATTCCTCTCGCTTGGCGGGCTAGGTGGTCTCTCCGGCAGCTCGGCTCTGTCCATGATGGTATGAGCGACGAGGCAGACGCGCAGAGGGACGAGAGAGCTGACATCATTGGACAGTTCCTGCGGTGAATCTTCCTCCCCTTCTTCGTCTGGTCTGGCCTCTTGCTGCATGCTGGTGTGCATCAGCGAGGCCACCGTTGGGGAGAGGCGACTCAGATGAGAGGGCCGCACACACAAAAGGGTCACCTACAAACACAGCACAACGCACACAAAACGTCATCACAGATACGGTCGGTCTGTGAGTCTCTTCACTCACCATTGCAAGGAGAGCATCCGGTGCACACTGTCTGGGAATCTCCCTCTCAGCTTCAAGCTGCATCAGGAAGTCCACGGCTGGCTCCACACATGGCTGCTCCAGCGTCGAACCTTTTGCCAAATTCGATGCCGGATCGCCCAGGAGGCTGTCGTCAGCTTCCACAGCTGCGGCAGCACACCGGACGATGCGTGAAGCCGACGCAACCAACACATCGAGATCCTCCTCGTGAAAGCTCTCCACACTGGTGCGACGGAACTCCCAGACCTTCTTGAACAATCCTGTCAGGAAGTCCTGGCAGGCCGTGAGAGCCTTCTGGCCCTCATCTGGTGAGCCGATAAGGGCATGCATTGAGAAGGAGAAGGCCCGCAGCAGGACGGCGAGGTCGTGGGACGTGTAGACGGTCATCACTCCCCCTCCTTCTGCTGCTGTCGGCTCCATCTGCCGATTGGGGAGGACCACCAGCCGCAGCTGACACGCAATCTCCCGGTAAAGCGCCTCCAGAAAGTGCCGCCTCTTTGCGGCATCCCTCGTCCAATACTCGTCCAGGTGGGCGGCAGCGTTGGCCACCATCACCAGCTGCCGGCCGCTAATGACATTCAGGATGGCCCCCATCCGCTCGAACAGCCGCGACACGAACACACTCAGCCCCTCCCTGATGGCCTGATCGCTGCGGCAGAGCTGTCGCTGCCCGGGGTGTGACCACGCCAGCCGACTGCACACCACTGCCAGGCGGACCAACACAGCCCCACTTAGCCTGGACAGCCGGGGCGACAAGACGTCTTGCAGGAATGCGGGCAGCCCTGCCCGGCGGGTGCCTGCCGGGCCGACGCGAGAGTGAAGGAGGCCTCGGAAGACGAGAAGCAGCTCGCGCGACGAGAGGATGGGCAACGATTGGACGAGGTGGTTGGTGTACGTGGTGAAGAACTCCTCGTCTGTGAGGTCGAGGGCGGCCGTGACGGACGGCACGAGAGCCAGCTCCTCGATCACCATGCGGGGCACGTGGGAAGCCAACAGCTCCTGGATGTGACGACCAGGACGAGAGACCTTTCGACTAGCTGCCATTTCTCTCTTGTCGTTTCTTTCTCACCTGTATCTTTCCACATGTAGCAGGGTTGACTTTGGTCATCCTCCCGACCGCCAGCAGCCCATCCACCAGCAGCTGGCTCTCCTGCAGCTCGCCCCGCCTCTTGAGCAGCACACGCATCAGCTTCTCCACGAATTGCCGCTTCACAGGGTACAAGAACCGAAACTGACGCATCCCATGCGACAGCCGCACCAGGTTTCGCACGCTCAGCTGGCGGAACCGGAGAGTCGCGCCGAAGCGGCGGTAGAAGAAGAGAGCTGTGGACTTGTCCGTCAGCCGCAATTGCTGAAGACAGTCGGCTGCAATGGCGAGCTCGTCTTCGCTGAGGCTGTCCGTGTCATTCTCGCCCTTCAGTAGGGCCTCCTTGAACCGAGATGGGAAGGCCAGAGCTCTCCGCTGAGTTGGGCTGAGGTCCGCCTCTGCAAGATGCAGCAGCAGGAAGGTCAGCTCGTGCAGCGGTGCGCCCCGGTCGATGAGTGCAACGGCTCGGGCTGAGAGCGCCTTCCACCTGTCGATGATCTCGTGGGCCGACAGCTGAGTGCTGGACTCATCTGTAGTTGACGACGCCAGCCGCCCTGCCATGTGCACCACGGTCACAGCACCAGCGTCACTCAGGGAGGGGGAAATGGGAGCGGGGGAAGGGGCTTGCGTGGCTGGCGCGGGTGTTGCATCGTAGGCATGGGGAGGGCCTGGTGCGGCAGAGTGCTCTCGTGCGGCCTCGGTGATGGATAGAGCTGCTGACGAGGCGCACCGAATGTCGTTGGAGTGGATGATCCTGGTCAGGCGTCTGAGCGCACAACTCTGCAAGGGAAGCATCTGCGTCACCGTGAGAGAAAGGTGCGAAAGATCTCCGGCCGCGAGAATTTTGAGCTCGCAGATCGCCATGCGGTGGAATCGGTTGACTGAGCAATTGTGACTCCCCCCGGCAAAGAGTCCGCCTCTTCCCCAGATCTCCTACAATTGAGCAGAGATCTGGCGGTTTTGCTGTCGGCTGCTTCATCGAGTCAACGTCAGACACCGCATCTACCGTTATCTGTGCCCATGACGGCGCCAAGGGAGGGCCTATGAGCAAGCCGACGCGACGGCAGCAACAAAAGTGACGATGGCGAGTCAACATACTCATCCTCCCGGCGCCGCACCATCAGCTGCTGAGGACGGCTCTCGAGCTGCACCAGAAGAAGCAGCCTCAGCCACTCATGGGCCGTCATTATTGGCTGCACCAGCAGTGGGAACACATCAGCACAACCGTTCATCCATTCTTGACGCGGAGGCGCCTCACCCACCGTCAGAAGCAGCTGCACAACAGCTATACGCGGGCTCTGAATCCCATGCGGCATCAGCAAGCCAGCCGCGGCAGACTGATGCAGCAGCAACTGTCCGTACTGGTCTCGTCCCCGCGGCTGTCAAACGAGGCGCACCAACACCAGCACCCGCAGACCCACCATCACCAGAAGCACACAAGAGCGTCATCTCAGCAGGACAGCATCGCTCCCCCACCCCTCAGCACCACACACCACACGATGGTCCGACGAGAATGGAAGTGGGCAGCTCATCCACGAGTGGAGCGGGCGCACCCACAGCAACTCCCCTCGTGGAGGTGCTGTGCAACAAATACTTGCCCGAGTACGATGGTTTTGAGTTCAGTGTTACCGGCGAGGGCGACGGTCAGCGGTATACGGTGACGGCATGGCGGGGGTATGGGGACAATCGGCCTCCGGTGTGGGTGCGGGGGGTTGTCAGCCGTCACCACGGCGGGAGGGGGTGGGACACGAGCATATTGGGGGGTCTTCTGCTGGCCGTCCACAACGGCACGGCAGACACCGACGATCGCTTTGAGAGTGTGTCTGACGTCATCGATGGCGTCGAGCGGACCGTCATAGAGTGGACACGTCCACCAAGTAAGCCCGGACAAGGACGGAAGACAGCTGAGAGGACGATACGTATCATCGTGTGCATGTGTTGCGTTGTCATGTGTGCAGAGTCGAGCGGCGCTCCTGGCTGCGCCACCGACGCGGTGGCCGTCAGGGCCCCCGGTCCCTCGAGTACGCCCCCTACTGGTGGTGGGACGTCTGAGCCACCTCCCGACAGAGGTCAACAGCCACACCGTTCCCATCCTCGATCGGCATTCAGCCATTGCGGCTGTCGGTATTGTTTGTCTTCTTCAGGTTTGTCAGCCAAGAAGGCGTCAGCCGAGAAGGGTCATCACAGGAACAGGCCACGACCCACCGTGGAGGCAGCTGACCTGACCCAGCTGTCAGGGCCCGCCGATGAGGAGCCAGCCACTGATCGCAGCCCGTTGCTGAAGGATCGCCACACACATCCGCTCGACAGCAGCCCCTCAGCCCACGACGGGGCCCCGCCGCCCACGCCCGAGAAGGAGCCCGATGGCACCGAGGGCAGGTACCAGTCTGACGTGCCGGGCGTCTTCTGGGCGAAAAAGGGCATGGTCTGGGTGTCATCGTGGAACGAGAGAGGGGACCCCAAGAACAAGCGGTTCCACGTCAAGGAGCACGGCTTTGACAAAGCTAAGGTACTGAAGCCAAGAAGCACGGCGACAAAGCTTGGGTGCAAGAGACAAGAAAGAACACAGCCCGCACACGTGATGCTGATGCTCCTTCAGGCGTTGGCCGAGGAGCATCGTCGCAAGATGGAGCGCACGGGCAGGGCAGCAGCAAGGAAGCGGTCGGAGCACCAGAGTGGCGTGCGAGGCGTCCACTGCAACAAGGGAGCCAACGCATGGGTGGCCAGCTGGCAGGTGGGGGACAGGAGGAGGAGCAAGTCCTTCTCCATCAACCAGCTGGGCTACGAGAAGGCGAAACAGGCGGCCATCGCATACCGACAAGAGATGGAGCAGCGGCGCCACACTTCAGAGTCCGAGGCGACGGGAGAAGAGAGCCGTTCCCGCAGCCGCCACAATGATGATGATGATGATGATGAGATTCTTTCGCCGCGCCGCCACGGCCCCCCCAGCAGCAGGCCACACGTGGGTGTGATGGAGGGCGGCGACCTGGCAGCTGCCCTCGTCGAAGTCCTCAACAGCGACGAGTAAGACAGACAAGGAAGGGCCAGATTTGTCACGTGTGTGATGTGTGTGTGGGATTGGTTCTTTTTTTTCGGGCAGGTCATGCGGGCTGTGTTGGCAGGACGGCGGCTTCCGTGTCCGTGTGCCGTCCTCTCTCGGGGAGGGTGCAGCTGAGCGCATTCTCGATGTGCCGGTGGTCGACCTCAGCTCCCGCTCGGCCGTCATTGACGCTTTTCGCCGCGCCGTCGAGGAGCTCAACCGTCTGAGCACTGCTAGTGAGGGAGAGGCCTCCGCACCCCTGGACATCAGCTGGCTCGATGACATCGGTCCCCATGGCTGCAATCGACCTCGGACGCGCCGCCGCAGCGGAGCGAGGCGCAAGCCCATGCCGCCCCCGTCTCTGTCTGAGGACCCCAGTGACCACACACTCGACAGCAATGACCCCATGGCGCCCCATATTCAGCCTGGGCGCCGCCACAGATGCAGGCCCTCCTATCGTGTCAGTGAGCGGCCAATAGCGGACTCGTCCAGCTCTGAGAACGAGCTGCTCATCGACCGGCCAGCAGCCAAGCGCCATCGTGAAGACGCGGGCAGCAGGAGGGACAGTCAGGATGAACTCATGCCGCCTCCCATTCGACCCACACCGGAGACACATCGCCGTCGTGAGGGCGAGCAGCTGTCGCATCGACCGGGGGCCAGACGCCGTCGCGACAGGTCAGGCGGTGGGAAGGAAAGAATTGTGTCGGCGAAGCTGAGTGAAGGGGGCGGCCATGCTCTGGCAGCCAGCCTGGTGGAGCAGGCACAGCGGCAGCTGGCGGACGCACACCAAGACGATGCCGACAGGTGGGCAGAACGATGAAGTCTCATGAAAGGCCACTCATTTTCCTCTTCCTTGGTGTGTGCTTCACTCAGTTTTGGTCTCGAGTGGCGCGGCGAGGAGGCCACCTTCGTGGCTTACCGACAAGACGGGGAGGCCAGGCACGACGAGCGTGTCTTCAGTGTGTCTGACGTGACCTCATCCCGGCTCATCCTGCGTGCCTTCGCCCAGGCAGCGCAGCACTGCAACACTGCGGCCGGCGGCGGTGTAGTCAGCATGGGAATGCGGCGCATCAATCTGCACCCACAGCCGAAACAGAAGCATGCTGTCGACAAAGGCACGAGTGCTGGTGCAGCCTCCAAGGGTCCGACGCATCATGACGGTGGCGGGGCGGATTTGGGAGGTGTTGGTGGCGATGACGACATGGATTGGGCTGATGACGTGTCTTCGCGTGACGGACAGCCGAGGCGCAAGGCCGGCAAGGGCAAGACCGTCAGCCGCAAACCTGCCGAGCATCAGTCAGCCGTGCAGGGCGTCCACTGGTCTGAGCGGGGTCAGTACTGGCAAGCGAAGTGGTGCAGAAAGAACGACGGCAAGCAGGAGACAAGTACTTCTACGTCAAGGAGCACGGCTTCGACAAAGCAAAGGTACTGACAACAGCAACGCCAACTGCCATCGTCAAGTTCTTCTCGTGTGTGTTGTGTGTATCAGGAGTTGGCCGAGCGGCATCGTCGTGAGATGGAGCGCACCAGGCGGGTAGCAGCAGGCAAGCAGAGATCTGGCCACCAGAGCGGCGTGCGGGGCGTCAGCTACGACGAGACATACAAGCGCTGGGTGGCTTCCTGGTCGGAGGGCGGCAGGAGGATAAACAAGCACTTCTCCGTCGCTAAGCTCGGCTATGAGCCTGCCAAACAGGCAGCCATCGCATACCGCCGTGAGGTGGAGGAGAGGCACTACACACCCCTGGGCGGCGACAGCCAGCCCGTCCATCAGCCACCTTCTTCTCACGACTCTGCCGCCGGCCACGGTCGAGCCGAAGCTTCCCGCCCTCAGCCGTCGCCCCCCGCTGCACAGGAGAATGACATCGATATGCGGGGCGGCAGCATGGCGTCATCGCGGCATTGGGATCAGCAGGACAGCTGCCCCGGCAGCTCAGCTGGCGTCGATCGAGGCGGGTCGAAGGGGCTCAGTGCGAGAGAGGTTGACGCATTCGCACACCTGCTCATCGAGAGGACAAGACGTGAGCAGCCGGAACTCTACACATTCAAAGGCAGAGGCGGGTGAGTGAGGATCGCGATCCACGTACACAAGCCCTCTGTTTACCTACCGTTTTCTCCTTGTGTGGCATGCCATCATTCAGGCTGGGTATCAGCTGGCACCAGCATGGCCACCGGTTCAAGGTCGCCATCACTCGGAACGGCAAGGACGTGTGTGAGTACATGACATCGCTCACGGGCCGCCCCATCCGCCGTGTCGACATCGTCAACTCCTTTCGCCAGGGTGTTTTGCGCCGGAATGAGGTCTTCACTGAGGCCCTCGGCAGCGATGCTATCTTGATCGACATCAGCTGGCTCGACGACCACATGGGCGATGCCGATGGGCACCACGATGGGTCATCTGATGAGAGCATCCCCCGGCTCGGCCATCTGGTGGGCAAGGGGCGAAGGAAGCGTCCCTTAGTGAAGCGGCACAATGACGACGCGAAGGAGATATCAGGCCCTCCAGATACCCAGAGGGCCCGAGGCGCCCTCCCTTCCAGCGGTGGCGGCAAGCGAGGGGCTGCTGAATACCGATCATCCTCAGACTCAGAGTGGCGGGGCTCTTCGTCACCATCATCCGGTGGGGAGGGACGTGACAGCGACTCCCAGGACGGACGTGGCCCGTGCCCACCGTCTCGCCCCCGTCGCACGCAGATGGTTCACCGCCACAAGCAGCCACATAGGGGGAGGGATCTGAATGGGCTGGCGGATGGTGAGTTGCCAAACGCCCAGAGCGGCGGCATCGACGAGGCGGGCAGTGGCTCAGATGATTCGTTGCGGTGCTGGGAGTGCGGCAAGGGCGACAATGAGAAGCTTCTGCTGTTGTGTGACAAGCGTCGTTGCTCTGCGGCCTACCACACCTACTGCGTGCAGCTGACGGCCGTCCCGGAGGGGCAGTGGCTCTGTCCCAAATGCAAGCACAACAGCGATGCCCCGGTGGACGCCCATCCCCACTCAACGGGCACTCGTCAGACGCGTCGCATGAAAGGCCAAGGGGACCCACCGCGTCGCCCCGCCCCCAAGCGCAAGACCGTCGACCGCAAGAGGGCGCGCGATGAGGCCGAGCTGGATGGACTGACTGGACCTGTTCTCGCCACGGCCCTGGTGGACCGACTGATACGACGCTTCAACGACGCCTGCCCACAGGCCAATGGAGGGTGAGCATTGCTACACACGACAAGGGGGAGCGACATATCTTTGCATCCTATCTTTGGCGTCTCGTCAGATTCGGCGTCTGTATGACTTCACCGAGACGTTTCGCCGCGTACTTTGACAGCCAGGGCAAGCACCTGGGCTTCCGCAAGTTCGTCATCGATGATCCCGACTCCCGTGGCAGCATCATCGATGCTCTCCGCCAATGTGTGGCGTACCGCAACAGCATCCACCGTGACCAACTCGGCGACCGTGCGACCATTATCGACCTCTCATGGCTCGACCGGCAGCAGCAGGGGGGCGAGGAGGAGCTGGGCCTATCGGTGCGTGACAAGTCATCCGACCACAGCCGCTCTCGCAAGCACCGCCGCCGAGATGCGGCTCTCGCCAGCAGGAGCCCATCCGTAGCGGAGAGACGGCCGAGCCCCAACAGTCACAAGACAACCAAGGCCGGCCAGGGCATACGAAGGGCTGCCGAGCACCAGTCTGACGTGTCGGGCGTCCACTGGTGTGAGCAGCATCAGGCGTGGTTAGCCAAGTGGTGCAACACGAGGGACGGCAAGCGGGAGTACAAGTATTTCTACGTCAGAAAACATGGATTCGACAAAGCTAAGGTGCAGCACAGCACCACCCCGCTCGCGCAGCCCAACACCGCCAGCCCTCGTTCTGTCTGTCACGTGTATCAGGGGTTGGCCGAGCAGCATCGTCGCGAGATGGAGAGCACCGGCCGGGCTTCCATCTTGCGACGATCCAAGCATCAGAGCGGCGTCGAGGGCGTCAGCTACCACAAGAAAGTCAACGCATGGCAGGTCAGCTGGCAGGAGGCCGGCAAGCAGAAGCGCAAGTCCTTCTACGTCAAGCAGCTTGGCTTCGAGGGCGCTAAGGAGGCCGCCATTGCGCACAGACAGAGGATGGAGCGATTGGACACGTCAGAGGGAGGGGCGGAGAGCCATGGCGACCCGGCTGACTCAAGAAGTGCCGACGATGGCGACGATCCTCTGCCCGTCAAACAGCGACTGGCGCCTCAGCTGCGTCAAGGTGGTCTGAGGGGCGGTGCTCCCTTGCACCCTACGGCTCGCCCTGACACCAAGCGCCAGGACCGGAGAGACGGCCGACCCAACCACAATCCCTCGCCGGAGGCCTCCAGTTGGCTGCGGGAGGGCCCCCCTGGTGGGCTGCCGACGCATCGCACGGCCAGTCGCGGCCCTCGTGTGTCCCCGGTCCAGCAGGGGCATTTGATTCGCCACTTCTACCAGCAGCTGGAGGCACTCGGCCGAGCCCATCCCGAAACGCCTCTGTGTCTGCGGTTCAGGAGTGGGTCTGCCCTGACGCAGCTGGCCGTCGAGGTGGTCCTGCCGGGGTCACCAGTGCAGTCGGTGCCCCTCTCAGCGGCCACCAGGGAGGCCATGGGGGCGGCCATCGATGCCGCTTGGGCATGCCGCCAGCAGGGGATGGACATTCACGGCACTGAGGACCAGCAGCCCATGACACACGCCCAGCGGATGGTCCTCTGTCGCGAGTATGGTCAAGTGGGTCACAACATTGGGGCGATGTTGGCGGCCGTCCCAGCTCTCAGCTTTGCGTCCATCGACTCGTTTGTGCGTCATGAGCTGCCGGCCATGGTTGGGCAGCGTGACGGCGAGGACATCAAGGAGGCCGCCAGTCGATTCATCAAACAGCTTCAGAAGACCAATCAGCAGCACACCACACCAGCCCTGCCCAAGCCGCTCAAGGCGGCAGATGACGAGCAGCTGCCGGGTGGTGACGAGCTGGCCGACATCGACATGACGATGCGGCCGCCGCCCTATCAGCCCGTCAAGGGCCCACACGCACCCAATGTGCCGCAGGAACGAGACCCGAATGAGGCCGGTCGCATGGCGGATGGGGAGGTGGGCGAGGGGCGGCATGGTTGGCATGGCGATGGTTATGGAGGGAGGGAGGGAGCTGTGATTCCGTTCGATGAGTTGACGAAGGTTCAGCTGGTGGAGCTGCTCAAGGCCCACCCATCACCCGACATGCGACAGGTTGCCGACAACATCATGGTCAGCACACCACACAGACACATGTGAAGGCAGGCTGACTTCAATGTATGTGTGTCGTCTTCTCTTCTGTGTGTGTAGGCGTTAGATATCGTTTCGGCGCTGAGTTTGCTGGACATGTTGGATGACACTGACAGTGTGGCGGCGGATGAGGACATCGGCCGTGACCTCGGCCTGCCAAAGGGCATCGCACTCGTCATCATAGCGCAGCTGCGGCGCTTCCTGCGGGCACTCAAGCGACGGGGGGCCGTCCAGTGGCCTCCTGGGGATGGTGTGAGGGAGGACGGAGAAGGCCTGGCTGCCGGCCAGCTGTGGGACTCAGCACGTCTGGTGTCGGCCATCGAGCGTGAGATGGGCGTCATGGCGGCCGACAAGAGGCAGCGGCACGGCGGCAAACTACAACACGTCATCGACAAAATCAAAGAGGTCAGTCAACACACAACACACAGAATGCGGCACATGGATTCCATTTGTGTGTGTGCAGTATGGGATATCAGGCATGAGCATGTCACTGCTGGTGGAGCCGCCCCAAGACAGCGATGGGTCTGATGAGGGGCGGGTGGAGGCGGCACTCATCGATGCGGCCCGAGAGGACGTCTTTGGGGGCATATTCGACTTGGTCATCAAATCGCTCATCCGCCGCACCATCAGCCGACATGACCAATGACGATCAATGACACACGGCGATATCGGACTCTACCTTTCTTCATTTCTGTGGCCACTCACTTCTTCCCTGAGAGGTTTATCGCACTCTAGACACGCGATTTTCCCTCCTGTGTCCGTATGGCATCGCACGTGGCCGTTAGTCGATCAGGCGCCAGACAGTCAGATACATGTAGACCAGCTTGGCCTATGCTTATAGGCAGACAGCTTGATGGATGTGTGGTTGTATACGTTTTAGGTGCTGTCGTGGAAGGCCATGGAAAGAATGGCCATGTATGGCTAGTGGCGTGTGTGAGATGTCTACAGAGGAAGGAGCATTTTCGTAGCAATCTATCTTTGTACATCGCACTCTATCGGCGGCTATCGCAGTCTATTTATCAGCGTGTCCACACACGCATTTTCCCCTCCTTTTTGCAATCAGATGGATCGCCTTGCCTTCGTTGACACAAAGAGACAGACAGACAGACAGACCAGCTTGATGGAGTGTGTCCATATGTTTTAAGAGCTGCTTCTCGCAGTCCAATGAGGGCCATGCCATGTCTGGCTGCACTTGTGTCAGCTGGTTGGTAGTGGCACGTGTCTCTTTCATGGTGAAGACATCCACGTCATGTAGACGTTGTATGTATGGGTGGGTTCTTTCATCGAGTCACCATCGAGAACAGAGCACTCTCTGTCAGTCAGGGTTTATGTACTGCTGCATGTGACTATCCACATCAGGGCCTCATATCAATAAAACCGCTCACACCGCCTTACAAAGGAGGTTTAGGGTTTAGGGTCAAACCCTAAACTTTCGGAGGCCTCGTTCGTTCCTTAACCCCCGGCCTCGTTCGTTCGTTCGTCGACCTCACGGTGACCTGGCCGAATCGATGTGGTTGACTAAGCAAAATTCTGAGCAATTGTGAGAAGAATCATCGCGTCTGTCGTTCCTGAGGTACGCCATTCAGAGAGAAGGCGAATTTCCCATCAGTGCGGCCCCCATGGGCTGTGTGTTTGTGCGTCAGGGAGGGACATCGCAGCGCAAATCTACATCTAGCAATGGAGGAGGGTAGACAGGTGAGGCGCATGGCAGCACCGCTTGCAATGGATGGCGCATTTCACCAGAGGGGTGCTGGCTGTGTTTGTGTGTTGGGTGTATGGGTGCAGGGTGACGCGCCGGCAGCTGCTGCTGCATCTGGTGGTAGTGTTGGTGGCGGTAGTGGTGTTGCGAGTGATGAGCGGCAGCGGCGGCGGCAAGAGAGGGAGCGCCTCCTTCCCCGACAAATCACTGACACGGTGCGTGGCACTGGCGCGCTGAGGGCCATGTGTGCACTGCTGGACTTCTCTTGCCGTCCCGTGTGCTGTGTGGTTGTTTGTGTTGCAGGAGGGCGTTCTCAGCTACATGATGGCCTTCCTCCCCCTCCACCTGATGGTGCAGCTGTCCAAGTCCATCTGGCAGCAGGCGGCACCGGACCTCTCGGACGTCACCATCAGCTCAGCAACCAAGGAGGAACGGTCGTTTTGGCAGCACGTCCATCTCGAATTCGTCACCCAGCTGGCCGCCCGACTCACCCGCCTCATGTCAGTCACCGTCCGCTATCCGTTCGGCGCTGCTCGGTGGTGTCTGGACGTGTTTGTGGCCATGGTGGAGGGCCACATTGCCGGCCGACGTGCTGCAGCCAACATGAAAGGAGGGACCCTGGAGACCATCACCTTCCAACAAGGGGTTCGGCTGACCGGCACAGCGAGACAGCCCGTCACAAGGACTCATGCACCACTCACTCATCCACCCTTCCCCCCTCCTCTCGACCCGCCCCCGACCCTGGACGCACTCACGACCATTGAGGGTCTGAGGGGCAACAAACATTGGGAGTTAACCGATCGGGGCTGGCGGCTGCCCTCACTCGCCATCGTGCAGCAGGAGCAGTGGCGCCCTGACAGACTGGGCCGACTCATCAGTTCGTCCCGCTCCCTGCAGCGGGTGGGCGGCGGATTTGACAGTGGGGGGTGGGCGGGTGTGTTCAAGGGCATCCCTGCGGCACCTGCTGGGCAGCAGGGAGGGCCACTCGCACAGCTGGAGAGCATCGGCACCGTCGTGGTGGTAGAAGACAGTCCGGTGGGCGTCGACCAGCTTCAGGTGACAACTAGCGCACACGGCAGCTTGTGTGGGTTGGCTGATGATGTCCTTCCTGTATGTGTGTGTTGTTGTATTCAGGAAGCGCTCGTTGCCCGTGGCTGCCGGCGTACGCTCAAGCAGCTACAGGTGGAATTTGCTGACGACTACCGCGTCGGCCGCCGCACCTTGCCCGTGCTGCTTGCCCTGGACCGGCTGATCCTGAAGTGCTGCCAACCGGACGCCCAACTCTCCTTCCCCACCCATGGTCCTTCCGAATCCGAGTTTGACCTCGACACATTCTACGACAGCGACTTTCCACCCCGCCCCTCAGCCTCATTCAAGACCATGATGCAGCAGCTGGCCTCGCGGGCATACACGGTGCAGTACGTCTTCACTCAGGAGGGCCTCACCGACCCGCACACAACCCCAGCCAATCGGCCATCGGCATCGTATCCAGCCTCTCATTTGACGAGGCCACGGAGGTGGTCGTCAAGGATGCCTACGGCTTCGATCCCCCGGACGACACCCCATCGCCCCATCCATCCATCATCACCCACATGCAGCCATTCCCAAATGCCCGAGAGCTGAGTGTCTTCAGTGAATTGGGCGGTGCAGCTGGCCGGCTGCTGGCCGACAAGATGCCCATCGGCAAGCAGGTGGAGTCGGTGACGATTGACGCGTGGTTGCCTGATGAGGGGGAGAAGGTGGGCGTGTTGATGGCGCTAGGGAGGGACAGGGAGGTGGGGGTGGTGCGGACGGAGTTCCGTGTCGGCCAGCTGCTGGGGGGGGCGGGCGACAGGTTGCCGAAGATCAGGGAACTTCCTTTCATGACCATGACAAGTACGCCGAGAGGGAGGGGAAGCGTCCGTGTCCGTCCTTCCATCCTCATTTCTGCCTGCCTTGTGTGTGTTTCCGTCACCTTCAGTGTATGCTGATGTGGAGGATGCCGGCCGCTTCGTCCGCACCCGCCTCTCAGCGCTGATCCGCCGCGTCAGGGGACTGCGGCGCGTACAGCTGAAGGTCTACGGCGTGTCGGCTGAGCAGCATGATTCCATCACCGCCTCCCTCCCTGACGGCGCCAACATCGGTGCCTTGACCATCACAAGCGTCACCCAGGCGTGGGGCAATACACTGTTGGAAATGACAGCACCTTCCCATGCCTGATGGTGAGGGAGTGACACTCATTCACCTGAAGGGCGGTGCAATTGTGTGACCATGTGCATGTCTGCTCTGTGTGTGTGTGTGTGTGTGTGTGATGGTGATTGTTCGTCAGGCTGGCTATCTTGGTGGATTCCTTTGTAGCAGGCGGGCAGTGGGTGGGGATAGCTGACGGGGCTGCATGGGATGCATGTGTGTGTGTGTGTGTTTGTGTGGGGGTGGGGGGGCGACTGACTGGGTAGGTATGGGAATGAACGATAGCAGAGAGAGGGAACGAGTACGCCCCACACTACTGCTGTGTGTGGTGGTGCTGGATGGATGGATGGTATACCTCTGCCTGATTGATGGCTGACTCACTCGTCTGTCTGTCTGTCTGTATGTCTGTCTGTCTGCCTGCCTTGCTGCCTCTGTCTGCCTCGATCCTTCGTTCCCTCCTACTGTCTGGCCTCTTCCTCTCCTCTCGCTCCCTCTCCCTCAGTGGCTGAGAGGAGAGGACAGACAGCAGCAGAGGGGAGATGGGCAAGTACAAGGCAAGGCACACACACGGTGGGCAGATCGAAGTGTGAGGGCTGTAGCTGCCGAGCCACTCGGCGAGCCCAAGCACAGACAGACAGACAGACAGACAGAGATGTTGTGCTCGTGTGTATGTTGACAGCATTTCGTGTGCGTGCCGTGCGTGGCGTCAAGAGTGTGCGTGCACGATGAAGCCACCCATGCATCCATCAAGTCGGCCGTGCACATCCCCATCCAGCCACGAGTACAGGCAGGCCTACAGGCATCTACCTTATTCATCGCACATCACATGAATCTGTCCAGCCAGAATGTCATGTGCGAGCCACCACCCAAAAAGTCGCTGCCAGACGCTATAACGGTGCGAGGGGCCAACGTCGAGGGGCCCAGCGGCGAGAAATCGCGATTCACGAGACACTTTTTCCACGTATCCTTTTTAGCCTTGCTTTCGCTTCGCTCAGAGCCTCAGATCACCGTACTAGTCACACCGTCACGGTCGCACAGCTATGGAATGGTGAGCCTTGATCTGGCCAAACCACTCACCCATCTGCTGGGTGCTATGCTGTGCCGCGCCCTTCACGCCCCAGCACCTCCCACAATGGCCACAAGGCGTCCTGTCCCACGCCCGACGCCGCACACTTCGAGAAGCGCAACAGAGGGCGGCTGTTCGAGTGCAGGCAGCCGTCCGGCGTCACCAAGCCCAACGCCGCCTGCCCGGGGCCAGCAGCACAGCAATAGCTGACTACCAGCCCCCTCCGAGTACGCATCCCATCCGCGCATCAGATGTTCCTGAGGAAGCAGTGCCTCTCATTGCCGGGTACGTCGGCAGTTACTCGCAGCTCGAGGCCCTTGTCAACGCCCACTCTACCACTTTCACCCAAACTGGGGTCCTCTGCGACATTCTGACACGGCTGCTGTCCATCAACACAGCATCTCTTTTCGGCGATCTGGTGCAGGTGGCCGTCCCTCAGCTTACTCAAGGGGTGGCCGCCACGGAGGCCACCGGGCTGAAGCGAAAGGCCCGGAAGAACCACTCAAACAAGAGCGGTACATGTACCCAGTGGAGGGCAACGCGCAGGAAACCTTCACTCAGTGACTGCATCATGTGTGTCATGCGTGTGCAGGTCCTGTGAATGTTGAGAGGGATGGCGAAGAGGAGTGGGTGCCGGGCGCTGACAGGAAAAACAAAAAGAGCGGCGGCCGTGGCCAGAAGCGCAAACTCTCATCTGTGGAGAATGGTCAGCGAAGAGACACGCTCATACCAAAGAGAAGCACCTTATACCCATGGCTGATTGCTCGTGTGCGTGGACACGTACAGAGTTGAATGATTTCACGCTCAACGATGGCAGAGCCCTGCAGCCCTCGAGGCGTTCGCGTCGCAAACCCAAAGACCAAGAGCCCTCCACCATATCGCAGACCAACAGCGGCCTCCCGCCGCCCTCCCGCAAGCCCCCGGCCCCCAAGAAGCCCAACCGCCTCAGGAACTGCCCCAACCCGTGCATGATCACATGCAAGTTCTGCGGTTTGAAAAACTTCCACCACGAGTGTCCGAAGCGGCCAGATAGTCGCCGAGGGTTGACCGTTCTCTTCTGTTTCGCCCTAATTGTATTGACGGGATGCCGCTGGCTGGTGGGATGACTGCCAAGGTGAGGAGAAGACGGACTCGCGGCTGGCAGAAGGCATCCATGGCATGCGCGTCCCGATGCATTGATGTGCCTATCGCGTGTTATGCACTGCATGCTTCAGGGACGTACTGTCACCAAGGGCCATGGACGTACAGCTCAAAGATGGTGTGGCGCAAAGTGAGGTACGCCCATGCTGAGCCCTTGGCTGAGCCAGAGCACTGTCAGGAGGAGAAGCGTGCCCATCGATGGGCTCACATGGCGGCTGTTTCTTTCTTTGTCTTCAGCACTTTGTCCGCGGCCTCCACCAGGGACAAGTGGTCGCCCAACCTGACGCCCGACAGCACACCCACCGGTGCGCACAACACACGCAGCGGACGAAGCGGCGGCCCAAAACCTAGATGCCCGGTGGGTGGGTACACTCATCCAACAAGGTGGACCGAGGAGAAACCATGTGGCTATCTCTACCTGTCTCCCTCTCGCTCTGTCTCTGTCCCTCTCTGTATGTGTGTGGTGTCTTCTTATTTCTCTGTGTGTCTGCCTATCTGCTGCAGGTGGCCACCTGTCGCAGCACAGCGATGTTGTAGACAGTGAGCGTGTATCGATTTTGACGGGGGTCAGTCAGTCAGCGATGGATGATGGGATGGCTGCCTACATTTTATATTCCAATGACTTGGACTTCGTTGACCTTGCAATGGCCATCTCCACTTCAGAATATGTGGACCAATCAGTCACACACAGACGAAAAAGAAAGTCGTCAAACGGTCTGGCCAGCTAGCTAATCGACACAGAAGATGAGTCGAACCATTCCCTCTCTCTCTCCCAGCTACACACACAGTCGCCTTCGCGAAGGTCCCGTCCCCTCTCTCTACCTCACACAGGGTCCCTCTCTCTACCGCTCTACATACCCCTCACAAGAAGTCGACGACCTGCTCAAGCACTCACTCACTGTCACGACATTCGCAATTCTGGCCGACATGCACAGATTCACATTGCATCCATGAGCGCGTGGGTATCCTGTCTCTTACGTATGATGACATGACTTCCAGCCAGCCAGCCAGCCACGCAGCCAGCGGTACGCACAGCCAGACATGAACGACGGGGCGGCCGAAAAGGCAGCCCACCTAGTTGATTAATTCTGCCCTCCTCGTGTACCCATGCTTGAGGAGAGAAGGCAGAGACAAACGCCATTAAATGCGATGCTCGATATCGCAGGACAACAGCACAGCAGACGGCCAGACGGGACAAACCGATCCTACTGCAGACACACAGAGGTAGTTGATATAGCATACGACATGCAGCTTGACATGCAGGCGAGGCAAGAAGGGCCAAGGTAGAAAAGATACAGCAAGGTGTGCTCTTTGTGTTCGGTGCGCTTATGCGTGGTAGTGAGAGCCTCGCTTGCTGACGAAGAAAAAGCCTCGCTCAGACCATCCTTGTCTGACATTCCATGCGGCATCCATCCAGCAGCCAGCCCAAGCACAACACAGTCGGGTCGGTCAATTGAACGTGCAGCCCCTTACACAGCACAGGCCATCCATCCATCCCCCCAGTCCCCGTGTGTTGGTCTGTCTTCACTCTTGTCAGGTGGCCTTGCTCGCCGCCCCCCGCAGGATCGCCTCCATCAGCCCGTCGCCGTACTTGTCGGGCACCGCCGCGATGCCCACAGAGGCGAAGGGCAGCAGTCTTGTCTCGCGATACTCGTGGGTCATAGCGGTGCCGATCATGATGGGAAGGTATCCCATGCAGCGATACTCGAGGCCGCCGATGATACTCGGCGTACTCGGCGGCCTCGAGTATCGCTGCATGGGGACAGGTTGACCCTCTCCAGCCCACCGCCGGCCACATCGAGAAGGCCGTCGATGATCCACCCGATGACCACATGGCCCCTGCAGGCCAGGTGCGTCCCGTACACCAGGGTCCCCTCGTCGATGCACGCCCCTCCCAGCCCGATGGTGGTCTTGGAAGCACGATAGAAGGCCTCAAAGGGCACCATTTTCGGGTATTGCACCAGTCAGCGGGGCGGACGGCGCGTCTGCTGCACGAACACAACGCCGAAAAAAGCAGGCAGGCATGATGTGGCTGATATCTTTCTGGAGTGTCACGCTCACCTTCTCATTGGTGTCATTGGCAGCGTCCGCCCTTTCCAGCAACGGGAACCCGCCAGCAGCAGTGCCCTGCCTGATGCACATACCTACAGATCCGCACACACTCAGATATCTCACTCTCACAATCACATGAATGCCTTCGTCTTTCTGCTGGGTGTGTTATGCGCACCGGTGGGTGTGCTGTCGGGCGAGAGGTTGGCCGACGCATCGTCCCTGGTGGAGACCTCGGACAAAGACTTGGTGCTGAAGACAACGAAAGGAACAGCCGCCATGTGAGCCCATCGATGGGCACGCTTCTCTTCCTGACAGCTGGTGTTTTGGCCGGGCGTACCTCACTTTGCGCCACACCGCTGCCGTCCTCCCACGACCAGTCCTCCCACGACCAGTCCTCCCACGACCACGGCGCTTCGTCACAGAGCGTCCCTAAAGCATGCAGTGAATAACAGGCGATAAGCACATCAATGCATCGGGACGTGCATGCCATGCATGCCCTCTGGCAGCCGCGAGTCTGTTCTTTTCCTCACCTTGGCAGTCATCCCATCAGGAGCACCAACCAGCACAACGATTGAGGGCGAAAAAGAACGGAACGGTCAGCTGCGACCCTCGGCGACTATCTGACTGGCGAAGGCTGAATGCACCTCCTGTTTATCTGTTTTGTTTGAAGTTTTTGTTGAGCGAAGCACGGGTTTGGGCTTCAGGGTTTCGACGAGCAGTTTCACGAAATGTCCTAGCTCGGAGCTCGAAAATAGATGAGTTGACGAGGAAATGGGTGCTAACGTGAGCAGAAGAAGCAACGATGAGCACTGGCCGTCGATCCGTGGCCAGCAGCCGTGTGCGAAAAGGCCGGTGAGGACCTTTCCTGTAGTTAGCTGAATAGAGGATCTGCTGGGCGGTAAGTCCCAGAGTAAGAGTGCTTTTACTTTAATAAGACCGATGGACTGGCCAGTCAGTCCAAGTTGTTTCTGTCCATGTATGGCATCATGAAGGGTGGTCAACACAGATCTCACTTCGGTGATGGCTGATAAGA